CCACCTCTGATTTGTGCCAAGCAGTGGCCCTGAGGGGACACAAGTGTGCACACAAACACACTGCTTCCCCAACTCAGGGGCTCACTCTTGGCCTCTAAACTACTCAATTAATCCTTTGCTCCTACAGGTGACTGCTTGTCTCAGCCAGCGGTTAAGGTGCATAAAGGAAACTCTTCTCTCTGCAGTTGCTCCAGGACCCCCCTGCCCAGCTCCACGGTTAGGGCCCGGCCTGGGCAGCTCACCTTGGCTCAGTAAGAAGCGGAGCCAGACGATCAACAGGACCAACAGCAAGCTCACGGGCAGGCAGAGCCAGAGCACCAGGAAAGAAAACGTGAGGTCGCTCACCAGCGGCACCAGGGGGTACTTCATGGTGCATGTGTGGCTAAGCCAGGCCTGCCTGGGCTGGGCTGGCGGGACTGCCATGGGGACCCAGTGGGCCGGGCCACACTCTGCTCTCAGCCCAATCGTGACTGAGCGGGTGACATAACAAGGAAGTCACAGTGTCCTTCAGGCAAAGGGAGAGCTGTTTTGGACGAGTGCTTTTGGACGAGCGGGTGGAAGCTAGTGGCAGTGAGACAGTTTGGCCAAGAACAGAGAAGCCCAGGCTTCCAGGCAGGCAGGCCTGGGTCCAAATCCCTGCGAAGATGCTATGGGTTCATGGGACACCTCCTTGGATCTTCTTGTAAGATGGAAAGAATTCTTACCTCAGCAAGCTGCTAAAAGTTAGAAGAATAAATGATGGGACAAACATTGCCCCCAGGTGGCTGTTCAAGTATGAGGTCACAGATTCCTTCAGGGGCCAGCCAGGTCCCAGGCCTGTCCTTCTGGCTACAGGTGCCCACATCTGCACTTGGTGGCAGTGGCGGGGGCTGTGGCAACCTGGATGGAGCTTGGTGCGTCCAAAGCAGGCAGCTGTCGCAGCTTCAGGCAGTTAACTGCTGCGTGGGAGAGGCAGGCCCAATAGTGCCACATCTCCTTTCCCAAGAGAGCCGCCCAAATCTGCACTTTTATGTGAAATCTCCCAATTTAAAAATGTTGCATCAAGCACTGAAACACTGTTGGCTCAGGAAAACAAGTCTGCTGGGCCAGCCTGGGTCACTGGGTTGCCATTTAAAAACTTCCTAAGACACAGTAGGCCCTCAATAAATATTTAATCTGGAAATTTCTGCACCTCTTCTTAGAGTTTTCAGTGAAGGGCTTCTAAGTGGTTAGCCTTGTTCCTTTGTCTCCCAAGGAGAGAGAACACTCTCAAATGCCAGTCTTCTCTCTTCCTACCTCACCGGTCATTCGTTCACGTAGTAGTACACCTCCATGTGCCAGGCCCCGTGGCAGGAAGGAGGCCCTGGACCTCCAGGGCCTGGCCATCCCCGAGCCGGAGGGAGACTCTGGCCAGGTGCGGGGAGCTCACAGGAGGCATGGCTGGTGCCTATGGAAGGGGAGGCAGAAGCACTGCAGGCCCCAAGAGGGTCCTGGACCAGCTACGTCAGTCACTACGGGCAAGTGTCTGTGAAACACACCAATTCCTACCCTTCCCCCTGCTCTACTGAGTCAGAACCTCCAGGTGAGGCTTAGGACACCATGGTAATGAGCAAGCAGTCGGACGCAGCCCTGATTTTGGTGCCACAGTAACTCATCAGGCCAACCCAGTTCCAGGCTGGGAGAGCAGCTGCAAGAAGTGGGTGGTAGACCTGGGGGAGACATGGGGTGGACGGACCCCCCCTTACTGGAGGATACCGGCTCACGGAGAAAGGCAAGAGGGCCAGCCACAGAAAAAAACAGGGAAGGGGTGGAAGGAGGGGAGGGGCAGGGAGAGCTGGAGCTTGGAAGCCAGTGGCTTAGAGACAGTTTCAGCCCAATGGTGGGATGACTGGAGTCCCCAGAAGAGGCAGCCTGGGCAGACAGCATTAGAATGCGTGTCCAAGAACAGTGCCTTGGCAGGCTGTGCCACTCAGAGCCCAGAGGCCAAGACCAGGAGTGGTTTGGGCTGGGGATCTCTTGGCACTGGCTCCTGAAGGGGCTGAGCAGCACCGGTGGGAAAGGCTTGAACACACATTCTCTCCCCAGAGCCCAAAACAGGACCACTCTGCAATCAGCCTGACGCGTCGCTGGCCACCAAGGACCAGCTGGAGGTCCTGTGGGCAGAGCAGGCAGGGACGCACAACTACAGGGGAGGCAGCTCAAGGGGTCACATGTTAATATCCCGTCGAGTCAGTGGCAGGCTGGAGGGACAGCTCTTGGCAGAGGCACCCTAACCATTCTCATTGCTGTTTCCTTGGGTGGTACAACCACCCCACACACGTGGTCTAGGCAGGAAGGCGCTAATCGGGCTGCATGGAACCTTCTCAAGCCAACCCTCCTCACAGGGGCAGTGGGTGGGGGGAGGATGACTTCCTCTGTGTCTCCCCTTTCCTGACTGCTAGCCCTGGCAGAGCCCGGGTTTTGTGCAGGGAGAAAGCACGGCTGCCTTTCTGTGTTGCTGAGATACAGGCAGCCAGCGCCTTGGTGAACAGCAGCCTCCGTACGGGGGGCTTCCACTGGCTGTGTTTGCATTACACAAGCCCTGTGGTGACTTTGTACAGTGACACAGAGCAGCTTATACCTACGCAGGTAAGCAATTCGTGTATAAAAACAGTACGTCACTATGTTGCACCCTGACACTAATATAATGCTGTATGTCAATTATAACTCAGTTAAAAATTATTTTTAAAAATTAATCTAATTTTGGGCGCCTGGGTGGCTCAGTTGGTTAAGCGACTGCCTTCGGCTCAGGTCATGATCCTGGAGTCCCGGGATCGAGTCCCACATTGGGCTCCCTGCTCAGCAGGGAGTCTGCTTCTCCCTCTGACCCTCTTCCCTCTCGTGCTCTCATTCTCTCTCTCTCAAATAAATAAATAAAATCTTTTAAAAAAATTAATCTAATTTTGAGTATTCTGTGAAACTCTACAAAACCAGCATGAAAACCCACAGATCTAAATTACGAAGGTCAGGCAAAGCAGAGCACACGCGCCCTGGAAAGAGTAAATGAGAAACACCTGTGCAGGAGTCAAACCCCGGCCTGTCACCAAAAGCACACACAACATTATTAGATAAGAATCTCCTTAAAATTTAATTGACTAAATGTATTACATTCAATATTCCATGGGTTTCTTCTGGACAAAGGATCAGCATAAATACAAACAAAGCCTCTGGGCCTTGTCCCCTAACTGAGGAAGAGAAAACACAGGAGGCAAGAGACACGGGTACACCTTCGTATTTACATTTCGCCTTTACTTTACAGTTCAGTGCCAGAAATATTTACAGAAAATACAATAAGAAAAAGATCATGTCTTGGCAACATACCGAAATTCATACAAATTGTATATATGATTTCAAGCAAATAATGATACTGCTTATTTTTTAGCCACAACTGCCAAGCCCTTCAGAGGAGAAAGATGTTCTTGGTCACTGTAAGAGGCAAGGACTTGGGAAACTTGGTTTGCTTCAACAAATATTTATTGGGCGCCTACTATATGCAAGGCACTGTGGAATCCCAAATTACACCTTTTCCCTCACCATTAAAAAAAGAAAAGCATCTGAAGAACGTGAGTTGATACTTTGAGAAAAACACTATACAGTACATGGCTTCTTCAGCTACCGAGAACCCACAGTTTGATTCCACACTGAGTGGGTGGATTACCTTCTATCTCTCTGTCTCGGGGAAAGAGGCTGTCACAGAAATCCTTAAAACAGACCATCTAATTCAACCTATTGTTTCATGTAAACACAGAAATCAATTCTTTTCAGGAAGATATAACCTGAATGGGTTTTAAAATGCTGAATGGAGAACCACTGCCAGCAGGAGTGTCAAATTACCCCCAATAAATCTTTACTATCTACCACAAAACAGGTCTTTGAGCAAAGCTGATTTCCACCTTGGGTTAAGTCTCACCTTCCAAAGGAAATAAATGCTCCTGAAGACTGTCCCTCTGAAAATCACTCTGCAGAGCCTGACAAATGCTTCCCCACGGTATGTAGAAAGTAACCATTCATAAAGGCCTCATACACACAACCTGTGGGCAACTGACATTACTGACCAAAGATGTAGGTCTTTTGTATTTCTAAGTAAGTCCAGAGGAGAATGGGCTGCCCTGAAATCGAGGACCAGGAAATGGCGGACAGCATGCGTGCGGGGGGGGGTGTGTATGGCCAGGGCAGGAGGGGGTGAATCCATCATGTAACTATTCCTTTCAGAGGGCCAATGCTAGGTAGGAGGAGGTCTTAGGAGGAAGCACGGGACAAAAGTGGTAGCTGGCTGACCAAGGAAAGGCAAAGCCTCCTCACTGTCGTCAGTGCTCCCAAACAGAAAGGAGGAGGAAAGCCCCCATCTCCCGAATGGGAAAAAGGACTATGAGGGGCTACCTGCCTCTGTCCCTTGGGTAATGCTTTCCTTGTCACCAAATGCCACACTCATCCACCCCCTGATAACACCTGTCACATGCAGCAACTATACTGTTTAAGCCACAGACCAAAGTGGTCCTCGCTTCCCTTCAAAGTGTTATGAAAACACACTAGCAAATTTATCAAGTGGACTACTAAAGGTTATAACTAGTGACTAAATATGCTCCTCTGGCATTATTCTACTCAAAGTGATTTTTAACAAAGGCAGTTGGGTGAACTTAGTGACCATGAACTCAAACCCATACTTGTAAAAGTTTCCAAGGGTTCTTACCGCACTCCCTTTTTAGATAAATGTTATTTTGAGCAGAAGGAAGGAGCACCTCAGGAGGTGTATGTACCCTATATTGTTTGTGCTGTACACACTGGGGTCTCATGCCTTTGGGGGCTGCACAGCTCTAAATCTATCCCTCCTTCCCTGGGAGATGATAGGCTTCCAGATTACAAACCGCATTCAACACAGTTATTATTCACTTATCAGTCATGTATTACAAAGAGTTGCCAGAAATTAGAGCAAACTGAAGGATCAGGAAGCCTACCCTCAACACGCACATCACAGTATATTTTGCTGACAGTAAAACTATGCTAAAGGTAAAAGTTTTATCTGAAGAATCACACGGAGGAAGTACACCTACATCCGTTATTTTTAACCTCTGGAATGTTATAAGTTGCCTATCAATTTAAGCCTCCTTTGTTCATGTCCACTAGAAAAAGGGCCCATTTTTTCCTTGAAATGTCAATCTGGAAATTCCATAAAAGTTGTTAAACCTCACCTTATACCTGCTGAGTTAATAAAACATTTTTAGGGTAGAATTTGCTCATCTTTATTCTACACCCCCTACCCCCATGCTACCATCTGGAAACACCGATTTATTGCCCAGATTAAAAAGAAAATCAATTACCCAATAATATCATACCCTGAATGGAAACTGGAGTCATAGAAGGAGGAGGTAACCTTTACCTGAGCTTAAAACAAACATGAAGAAAAGGGTACAACAAACTTAAAACCAAGAACTGCTATGATACCCACATTTCTTGCTCAGAGATGACAAAATACATACTTTTGGAATAGAAGTATCTGCACAGGGAACTAGGCCCTACATTATCCCCCACCCTCGAATGAACTCCCCAAACATCAAACCAAACACACCATTGCGGCCCTGACCTACAGTCTACTGACACCAGAGTTCACGCGGGAAACCACTCTTAACACAGCTGTGAGGACTCCTCTTTGGACTTCAAATGTCACTTATTTTCTTAACATAAAATAATCTTAATAAAGAAGAAAGCAGAGAAGAATAGGAGAAACGAGCAGTGTATACTCTAGCACTGTAACAGGAATCCTTGGAAGGCTGTTCTGGGTCTGGCCACCTCAAAACATTTATCCCTGGCAGAAAAGTAGCAGTGAGGTAACAGAAGTATTTCGAAAACCCGGGCAGGGATTTGTTGTGCCTTCAACTGGCAAAGGTCCAGAAAACATGGTCACAACAGCCATTTCTAAGAGCAGCTACCCTAGGGCGTGGTCACGAACGTTTGTCAATTATGATGAAATCCAGTAGCTCTCTGGGAGAGATCTGAATTAGTAGCATTGAGAGGCTATGTCCTGGACCCCAAATTAGAATCCTTCATAAACTACTGCAGTTTCCTGCTTGGTCCTGAAATAAGAGACAATGGATGAAACCAAATAATTTTCAACCCTTGTGAGCTTACACTTCTCAAAATTTAACCAAGAAATTACCAAGGAATTACAAATGTTTGGCCTGTCATCATGTCCCCAAGCCACACAGCAATGGAGAGCGCGGAGGTATTGCTGCTGTCTTACAACTTTTAACCCCACAAATGCCATCTGTGTCCCCGTTAAAGGACAGGGCCATGCCTCACTGTAGATCTGCTCCCGGGCTGCCCAGAAACTGAGGCCTTCAGATAGATCTGTGCAGTAATGTGGACGATAACTTTGTGAAATGTGGAGGAAACATGAAACATTTTAGTGTCAGGCTTCTTATCTAAACAAAACATATTTATGCTCATTTCTGTCAGTTGGACAGCTGGACGACAAATGGACTTACAAGTGAGCAGAAAGCTGAGATTTTTTTCCTTCTCCTCCATGCTATCATCAGCATGAGTCTTTAAATATCCTGGAAGATTCTGAGACAGATTTCAATTCTGAACATAACCTCCTAAAAAGTGAAGTATAAAACTATCTTCACCTTCTAATTTGCAAATTTGATACTACCAATGCATGTGTTTAAATGAGATGCATAAAGCCTTTCTCCTCAAAAGGCTTATATTTAACTAAAATTGTCACTTTTAAAAGAAAGTTTATGACTAAAATGTATATCATCATTACCAGCAGGAATATGATTGTGTCTGGGAGCCCATTTCACTAGAAAGCCAAAAGTCTTCTATCAAATGGGTTTATGTGTTTCTTCTATTCTGGTGATTAAACAGTAAGCTCTTGGGGAGTGATTTGTTCTTCTTTTTACAGTGATCACCTATCAAATTGTTTTGCTCTGATATCATAGCCCCAAACTGGAGTTCAAGAGTCCTAGACAGACACTATCTAAGAAGTGCAGTTCTTGAGTCCAACCTCCTGGAAAAGTGAAGTATAAAACTCTGGCTCCAGCTGCTTGTTCCGGTACTTGTTGACGATGTCCGTGATTTTCTGTTTCCGGCGGACATGTGGTGGACTGTAGGAGTCACTCTCTAGTCTCTTTCTTCTACAAATATTAATTACAGTCTGCCTCACCAGAAAACCTTGAAAACAGAGGGTATTAAAATCAACGTGAGTAACTAGCCATCTAGGTGAACTGTCAGTATTCAAGTGAACTACTCCCTGCAAAGTCAAAACTAGTTCATTCTATTTGCAAAACTCCCTGTCCCTGGAGAGACGGACAACACTTACTAAGATAAAACTGCTAGAAGAAATACATGACAAGGGAAAACAGAAGCAAAAATCTGGTCTGACAACCCATTTTCCTGCCCTGGATTATACACAGCTATCTGATTTCCCAAGCCTGGAAGTTTGTGAATCGTAGTTCTACATGTACTTAAGTAGACGAAGCACAGTCAGAACAAAACATGCTTCTTATTTATAGCATTTTTTCTTTTTTTTTTTAGATTTTATTTATTTGAGAGCAAGTGAGAGAGAGAGAGAGAACAAGCAGGGGGAAGGAGAGAGAGAAACAGACTCCCCGCTGAGCAGTGAGCCTGATGCGGAACTTGATCCCAGGACCCTGGGATCATTACCTGAGCCAAAGGCAGACGCTTAACCAACTGAGCCACCCAGGCACCCCAAACCATAGCATTTTCTACATGTGGGATCTATTAAGTAATTTCACCATTTCCTTATTTCTACTTCTTCTTGGTTCATAAAAATGTTTAAACAAACAAATAAATAAAAGAGAGAAACCTTAACTCTTCGGCCATATATGAAGACCTTACCAAGTGCTCGCCTGCTGACAATCATCCCATCCACAAGTGGGATGACCATGTTAAATTTTCCAGTGGCTCCTTGAATTTTTATCCGGAATAATCCAGTGTTTAAAGGATGGATAAAGATGACAGGAACTTCTTTTTCAAGAGTGGTAGATCTTAAGAAAAGAAAATTCTTTTTACTCCAAACATATAAAAGTTGAAGTGCCCCATGTGTAATATAAGAAAATTAAGGACACTTGATGCCAGGCTTGATACAGTCTGATAAGAGCCAACGTGTCAGTCTGCTCAGGATCCTCCTTCTGGGAGCCCATGTTGCTGTACCCAACCTCCCACCCCCATCAACACCTGGCCCTAAATGCCCATCACTGGGGTTGGGCTTTTCAAAATGACAAAAAAGGGGCTAAAAATGTGTTTTAAAATCACTAGGTAAAACAAACAAACAAAAACAACCAACCACTAGGGACACAGGGTGGAAGCAAAGGCAGAGGAATCTCTGGCAGGAAGCTATGAACCCAGCAACTGGCTATGGGACTTTCTTTCACTTAGTCCCTCCTTCTTGTAGGGAACAAATGTGGGGGTGGCCGGAGTGCAGGGAATTCTACCACAGTCAACCCTGGCATCTCAAAGCACAAGTGGGAATACAGTTGAGTCCCCCTTATGAGAACCTCTGATAAATTTTTTGTTCGGGGGTGGGGGGGAGGAGGTCGTGAGGCCCATTAGTCTGGGCCAGCTGCAAGTGTCCTCCTTAGCAAAGGTGATAAATGGCTGTACCTTGGCAAGGCCAAAGCCTTCAAAGCCTCTGAACAGGCCATGGGTGCTAATTCACAACTGTGCCTTTAGAAGACTGAGACACCCATCATGCTTAGGGATATGTCACCATGTCTAGAGGTACCCATGTTATTACTCTGTGATATTTGCTACAATGTATGTTGGTATTTGGTTTTTTTTGCTTTCTTTCTATATAGGTAAAGTGATTCTGGCCAAAGCAACATTGAGTCAATTTTCAATACATTATATAAAAATCATTCATATAGTTAATTTTGTCATCAAGACAAATTCTTGATTTTACCAGTCTACCAACAAAATACGATTTTTACAGTCTAGTCATATTATAACTTTTTTTTTAAATTTTATTTAATTATGTTAGTCACCATACAATACATCATTAGTTTTTGATGTAGTGATCCACGATTCATTGTTTTCATGTAACACCCAGTGCTCCATGCAGTATGTGCCCTCCTTAATACCCATCACTGGGCTAACCCATCCCCCCACCCCCATATTATAACTTTTGACTTAAAAAGATTGAAACCGTTAACACCACCACCACCAACACAAGACACTTAAAAGTTCTCTTTCAAACTAGTTCTAGAAAAGTTCCCCTCGAGAATTACTCTAGTCTCTTCAGTAAGTCAGCATCACGGAGAAAAAAAAAAGACAAAAAGGGTTGTTCTATAGTAAAAGCACCTGAAGGCATGATAACATCAGACACAAAGTCCCAGAGTGGATTCTGGTTTGAATAAATCAACTATAGAGGATATTTTAGGGAAAATGGAGAAATTTCAATATGAACTGGTTACTAGATAAAATTAAGGAACTATTACTAATTTTATTATTGTGATAATTTTATCTTTATCTATTTGAAAAGTGTTTTTGTTTTTCAGAAATGCAGCTGATATATTTAAAATGTCCGGATCTCTTATAACTTGCTTTAAAATACTTTAGCAGAAAAAACACGAAGTTTTAAGAATGACTTGTCCTCCCGGAGGGGGGTGGAGGGATGGGGTAACCGAGTGATGGGTATTAAGGATGGCACGTGTTGTGATGAGCACTGGGTGTTATAGACAACTAATGTTGAACACTACATCGAAAACTTATGATATGCTACATGCTGGCTTAACTGAACATAAAAAAAAAAAAAAGAATGACTTATCCTTTTCTGGAAATTTAAAAATATGATGTTAAAATAAACCACCTTTACTCCAATTCTATGACAACAATCTAATGATGTTAAGAACAAATTCATCTTAAATGCAATACAAATCAGATCATGTAGCTTGATATCAAAGGCAGCTCTCTGATGTACAAAATAAGCCTAGCATCTGGGGTCAGAAGCCTGAGTTCAGATCACTTTCTCTTTCATTTACTGAATGTGTGATACTGAAGAATAACTTCTATCAGCCTATTTTATTCCATTTGTAAAACAGAGATGATAATGGTACCTCTTGTGAATTGTTTTAAAATACTTGTTTAAACCAAAAGCAAGCAAGCAAAAAGCCTTGAAACTAAAAAGCCTACACAGATACACTGTTATTAATCCTAGAATCCAATTATCCCCTTTTATCCTTTTTGTGCATGGGAAGCTAAAATAGGAATCTTAACTCTAATAAAGTTAGTATTACATTTTACTTAGAAATATTTTTTCCATTAAATAGCTCATTTAATTAGGACATTTTAACCACCCAGAATGTTTTGACCAATTTAACTCTACTCCTATCTAATATTGACAGTCTGTTATTAGGTCTTCATTAATACTTAACTGCTTCCACCATTTTTCTCTTTGCTGCAGATAAATGTAAAACAGCAATTAATTATGCCATTTTAAAATGCTTGTTAATTTATCACCTTGTGCACATTATCTACCAACTTCTTTGATTTTTTCCCCTATGTTTATTTCCTATTGCCTTCATCCCTTTTGTTTCCTTATGTCTTTCTTTATGAAATCACAACTGACATATTATCATGAATAGGTTTCTCTAGGCTTCAAGACATGCTGATGAGCCTCAGGCAAAGAAAGAGTGTACCTCAGAGAAGTGCTACTGTTTGCAGTAGTTTCCACACCAGTACTGATCTCTGTCAGCAGCTCTGAGAGGGGAAAGTTTTCTGGAAGAAAGTAAGAGCATTACAATTAATACCTCCCTTATATTTCTAAAATAAATAGTATGAAATCTAATTTCCTAATCTCTTTATACAAGTGTGTAATAAATATATGGATTGTGGTATCCTAAAATACATAATCCTAACCATTCCTCACCAAAAAGAAATCTCCCTCAAGACAAATTTTAGGTACGTTCATCTAAAGCTGAGTTTTTATAGAACATGATCTGTGGTCTTTGAGGGCTCGGTTGGAAAGCAATGATCACACCTTTCCACAAACCCTGAGCTGGATGAGATTCTAGGCTAAGTATGCATTTCTAATGCTCTCATGTTGCTTACATAAAAATTCCTAAGAAACTTATCCAAAGCAGAATTCCTAAGGACAAATTAATATTTACACCAGAACTAGACAGTAGGGTTCATGCAGAGGTGAGGAAAGTGTTCCCCCTTCCCTTTTCCAGAGGTCCTGGGATGACCAGGAGCTACATGGAGTGGGACCAACTCGCAACAAGCCATTCACTGTGATATCAAGAAGAGCTAAAAGTTTTACATCCCCTAGTCATCACAACTAGGAAGTGCCATGAGTGTCTCCATTTAACAAATGAGTAATCTAAGGCTTAAAGAAACTGAGTGAGAGGCAGAGCCAGGATGCCAACACAGGCTTGCTGAACTCCAGCCCCAGCTTCTGGCCACCATACCACATCTGTGCTGCGTCTCCCCAGACATTCAGCAAGTCATTGTCATTCTATAGTAATTTTACTTATGGACAAAGTCCTTACACACGGTACCTATATCATCATAGCGCTCCACCCAGACTACCGAAACTCTTGTCTCAGGTCCAAGGGGAGGCACGGGGCGACCCTGAGGCAGCTTCTTCATTCTGGAACTGGGACTAAGCTATATGAGATCGAGAAAAGGAGAAGGGGGAGGGAAAAAAAAGAAGCGGCTTAATAAAACTACCCAGCCACATATTCATCAACCTGCCCAGTGATGTAAATATCAGGTCATGGGAAATCACTTGAGGAAAAAAGTGAAATATATTTGCAGAAAAGCTCTTCGACTCCTGTTTATCAAGTCTCAACCTAGAACAAAGAAATGAAGGTCTTAAATTCTCAAAGAAGATAAGGAATACTGACCAATTATACTTTAATAAAAATAAAACTTGTGGGCAGGGTGCCTGGGTAGCTCAGTCGGTTGGGCATCCGACTCTTGGTTTCAGCTCAGGTCCTGATCTTGGGGTTGTGGGATTGAGCCCCACGTCTGCTGGAGATTTTCTCCCTCTCCCTCTGTCCCTCCACCCGCTAGTGTGCGCTCTTTCTCTCTAAAATAAATGGATAAAGAAGATGTGGTCCATATATATGATGGAATATTACTCAGCCATCAGAAAGGATGAATACCCAACATTTGCATCAACATGGATAGAACTGGAGGAGATTATTCTAAGTGAAATAAGTCAAAAAGAGAAAGACAATTATCATATGGTTTCACTTATTTGTGGAACATAAGGAACAGCATGGAGGACATTAGGAGAAGGGAAAAATGAAGGGGGGGAAATCAGAGGGGGAGACGAACCATGAGAGACTATGGACTCTGGGAATCAAACTGAGGGTTTTAGAGGGGAGGTGGGTGAGGGGATGCGTGAGCCTGGTGACGGGTATTAAGGAGGGCACATATTGCATGGAGCACTGGGTGTTATAGGCAAACAATTAATCATGGAACACCACATCAAAAACTAATGATGTACTGTATGGTGACTAACATAATAAAAAAATTATTAAAAAAATAAGAAATAAAATAGAATAAAATAAATGGATAAATAAAACCTTTGAAAATTTTTTGGGCAATGTCTTAATGAGGGCTTCAAAGGATTTAAGTCTATCCATCTATGGCCAGCAAGCAGAATGCTTTCCTCATCACAGCAACGTCACTAGTTTGCCTGGGGAGCCTAATCTCTAAAATGTCCCATCAGCAAATTACTTCTAGTTCTCATTTCTAGGCCAGAAGTTTCCTACTGCAATCTAGGCCAAAAAAGTCCTTTTTTTTGTCAACAGAAAGAAAAAAAGAGCTGCTTATGTCTTTGATATCATGCAGTTTGCTTCTGGCTTCCCTGCCCACCTGATCGGCTTGAAGTGTTTCTCAAGGGCTAGCAGGGCTCTGTGGCTCCCCTTGAGCAAACTGGTGCTCTGAGCACCACCACTCGGAGGGCATGCGGCAGGGATGAGTTTGTGCTAAAGCCCTAAACAAAGATACATGGACAGAAGAGAGACTTTCGTATCTAAGCTAAATTTTTAAAATAAAACTGCTTTATTAGCACAGAAATATACCTCTGTTCAGCAGATTACAGAGACGATGGCAATTCCCCTAGATTCTTATTTCCACTTCTATTTGTATTGTGGCAGTCACAGAAAATGACTGTGACTAAGAGATCTTCCCCAAATTGGTGGCAGACACCAGCCATACTCAAAGACCATTTTCTTAGCATGGCTCCTAATCAGCTTTGAATCTCTGACTTCAGCCCTAGATTTAAAGGGCTCCTATGGGCACCTGGGTGGCTCAGTCGGTTAAGCATCTGCCTTCAGCTCAGGTCCTGATCCTGTAGTCCCGAGATTGAGAATCGGGCTCCCGGCTCAGCGAGGAGTCTGCTTCTCCCTCTGCCCTTCCCCCTACTTGTGCCCTCTCTTTCTCTCACTCTCTTTCTCTCTCAAATAAAGTCTTAAAAAAAAAAAAAAAAAGGGCTCCTATGATTAGGTCAGGCCTACCTGGGTAATCTCCCTTTTGATCAACTCAAAGCAACCTTAGTAATTATATCCACAAAATCCCTTTTGCTATATAATGTAACATACTCACATGAGATCTCATCATATTCACAGGTTCTACCTACACACAAGGGGAGGACATCATACAGGGACAAGAGTCCCTGGGGGTCATCTTAGAATTCAGCCTAACACAGTGGCCTTTTTTCCTATAACCTTAATAAACTCACTCAGTAGATCTAGTAGATTTTTTAAAAAAGATTCCTCAGGGTTTCTACATATATGATCATGTCATCTGCAAATACATACAGTATTACTTCTCCTTTCCAATCCTTATGTACTTTAATTCTTTTTCTTGTTATATTTCCCTGTATAGGACTCCATGTTAAATACAAGTGGTGAGAGCAGACATCCTTGCTTTGTCCTCCATTCAGGAGGAAAGCAGTCAACAATACTGTATAGTATAATCTTAACTCTAGGCTTCCAGTAGAGCTCTGTCTCAGGTTGAGAAAGTTCTCTTCTATTCAGAGTTTGCTGAAAGTCATGAATGAATGTTGAATTTTATGTCAACTGTTTTTTCTGTATCTAATGAGATATTTTTCTTTTTTAGTTAGTAGTGTGAAAATTAATAAAGGGAAACCTCACTAAAGTGGGAGGCTAGAAAAAGGAGCTGTACCACCCAGTAGCAATTACATGAAGAACTGTCCATTACAGACCACAACAGAAAAGAATCAATATAGGCCCCACCAGAAAAGATGTACACGGAATCTCCTGCCAAGAAATCCATTGCAACTCAGCCAGTGAGAAACCTTGATCAGTCATTCTCATCCTGAACTCTTGCTTTTCTCCAGTGGATTTCCACTCAGAACGACCCCTCCCAACTTCCTCATTCTCCATAAAATGATGTTCCTCTCCTTCGTCTGCTGGATTTGCCAATAGTTTTGCCATAGCTTGCATGTCCCCAATTGGAATTCTTTGCTATTCTAGAGCAAACCCATTTTTGCTGATAAAATAAGTTTTATTTTTAAGGTTAGTAGTAGTCTGCAAGGTGTAAGTAATAAAAATGTGGTGCCTTAAAAGATTTTGGATTTTAAGGGATAACCATACTGACATTCAGAAAAGGAGTACAAGGACCACCAATCACTGAGTATTAGATCGGGCTGAAATCCTACATTACCACCCTACAAAGACATGTTCATCTCCAAACTGTATTCTATGAAACCTTTTAAATATGTAAGTCCTGATTTTCAAAATCAGTCTACTTCAGAAAATCTTAAACAACTTAACTGTTTTTCCTGAATTAATTTTTTTAAAGATTATATTTATTTATTTGACACACAGAGAGAGAGCACAAGTAGGGGGAGCAGGCAGTGGGAGAGGGAGAAGCAGGCTTCCCACTGAGCAGGGAGCACGACGCAGGGCTTGATCCCAGGACCCCGGGATCATGACCTGAGCCGAAGGCAGATGCTTAACAACTGAGCTACCCAGCGCCCCTTCCTAATTTTACTTTATTATTTATTTATTTATTTATTTATTTTATTTTTTATTTTTTTCCTAAATTAATTTTAAAGGTCACTAGTTCTCCTTCATTCTCTCTCAAGCATATATATGTTGACCCTTGAACAATGCAGGGGTTGGGGTGCTGATTCCTCTCCATGCAGTTAAAAATCCAAGTGTAACTTTTGAGTCTCCAAAAATTTAACTACTAATAGCCTATTGTTGAAGAGAAGTCTTACCAATAATATAGTTGATTACCACATATTTTGTATATTAGATATATTATGTATTGTAAAGCTAGAGAAAATAAAATGTTATTAAGAAAATCATAAGGTAGAGAAAATACATTTACAATACTGTACTGCATTTGTTAAAAAAAAAAAATCCACATATAAGTCGACCCACGTAGTTTAAACCCCTGTTGTTCAAGAGTCAACTGTATTTATGTTAAAAACTTTCATGGGGAAGGAGCCAAATTAAAATCCTGTAAAATCAAAGAATGGTTCAATCAAGTTTACACTTCTTTTGTCTTTCTTATTATTTGTTACAAATCAATCTTCCCACATTTATGAAATGATCCTATACCCTACCACCACACATTGCCACTTTCCAGTAAGGATAAAGAAGTAACATGAGGAATATATGTTAAGAAAAAAAAAAGAAGAAGATAGCAGGAGGGGAAAAATGAAGGGGGGGAAATCGCAGGGGGAGACCAACCACGAGAGACAATGGACTCTGAAAAACAAACTGAGGGTTCTAGAGGGGAGGGGGGTGGGGGGATGGGTTAGCCTGGTGATGGGTATTAAAGAGGGCACGTTCTGCGTGGAGCACTGGGTGTTATGCACAATGAATCATGGAACACTACATCCAAAACTAATGATGTAATGTATGGTGATTAACATAACAATAAAAAATTTTTTAAAAAAAGTAACATGAGGAGAAAACAAAAATAAAGACATAACATCTACTCATACAGCAAGAAAAATAGTGTAAAAGTAAAATGCTCCCTTCTTGTGGTGGCTGCTGTGTGCCTCACTCATTGTGTCTAGTCACACACTGGGCTAGTGTCCAAAGTGCTACCATTTGTATAGAGAAGACTTGTTTAAGTCAAATGTTGCGTGATTAAAGATATGGAACGTATAGCTGCTGTTGTACCCTTCTTTTTTTTAAGGTTTTGAGAGCGAGTGAGTGTGTGCATGAGCGGAAGGGAGGGGCAGAGGGAGAGGGAGAAGCAGACTCCCTGCTGAGCATGGAGCCCAACTTGGGGCTCGATCCCAGGACCCCAAGATCATGACCTGAGCTGAAAGGCAGACATTTAACCGACTGAGCCACCCAGGCACCCCATTACTGTTATACCTTTAGTGGATATTATGGGTACCAAATAAAAACCTAGGCCTGAGAAGGAATGGGTGAGAGACCCAAGCATGGTACCAGAATGGCCAAATCAAGGAAAACAACAGAGGCTGTCTTAGAATGACCTATTTGTTGCAAGCTGAAAAAAAGAAAATTGTGAGAATTTGATTTTAAAAAATTAAGATACTAATGAATCAGTACTGCTATCACTGCTCTCTAGGTTACAATTAAAAGGTTGATTAAAGGCATGATTCTATAATTACCCCTACTGCACGACAAATTTGCAGAGCTGTATCAACAAAGTTACTTACCCGCTGTGAGGAATTAAGATTGTCTGTGTGATTAGGGAAAAGCTCAAGTGTCAGGGATGGCTGTTTCAGAATTCCAGGCATAAGATCCATATTTGAATCACTATCTTGGTCCGAGATGTTACTTTCCAATGAATCGGCTACAGGGTAAAGAAAAAAATCAATTATATTTACTTCTTTAGAGAAGTCTTTGAACTAATTATGATAATAGTCTAACCTAAGTCACTTAAGAGAAGCACTGCCTCTAGACAAAAGGTTGGTAAACTTTTTCTGTAAAGGGTCAGTAAATATTCTAGGCTTTGCTGGCTATGTAGGTCTCTACTGCATATTCTTTTTTGTACTTTATTTACAACGCTAAAAATGTAGAAAGTGTACTTGGTGGTCTGATTTTGGCCTGTGCACCACAGCGTGCCAGTTCCTGTGCTACAGGATAACTGAGGTAAGACCAGAAAATATTTTGACTTTTCAGATGAAGAATATAAGCCATCTGTATTCTCTGAATTTTTATTCTGATAACATATTCAATCATGTAGCATGGTACCAAGTGGCACTGGGGCATTCCAAAGCTACAGAGGACCTAGTCTCTGTGACTAAGAAGTGATTTGTTTGGAGACAAGCACACAGAGAGTCAGAAAAAACAAACACAAAGACAAATCTCAAGACACAGGAGGAGGTTAAGTCAGAGCAGGAGCACAGTCAGAACACAATGTTTCATGACAAGAGGTGAAGACCCAACTGTGGCAACTAAAGTACAAGGACAAGGCTCTAGCTCTGCTGGTGCAAACAGGCTAGGCTACAGACGAAGCAGGGACTCAACTCACAAAGGGCAAATGGGGCCTGGCTTCTGGAATTAGGGTAGTAGATCACAGCCTTGACATGAAGGCAAACAGCTGCTAGGGATACTGACCTAGACCATGGAAGGCCCCTCCAGCCAGGGACACAACTGGCCTGAGAATATAAGACAGGGGTAGGGGGCCTAGTGTGGGAAATCAAGGGTCCCAGTACAAAGGTCAGGAGGCTGCCAGAGCAAGGGCACGAGAAAAGTCATTAGCCTAGAGATGAGACCATGGCAGTGTGATGTATAGCAGCCCATCCTATAGATGGTCTCAATGAAGAAAGTGAAATTTTCCACCTACTGCCTGCCTGGTCAGGCACAAAAAAATGGACTTAATTTGCAAGAAGCAAAGGTTCTAGGCCAGGTAAGACTATGGGTTCAGACTGAGAAGTAATAATCACTCCTGATTCTTTGGAAGAACAGGCTTAATTCGCCACCTTTTCTAGGCTGTGAAGTTTCTCCTACTTGATGTCAGAAGATCAGCCAGATGCTATCTTCCAATTGCAGGGAGTCTTCCAATGGTAGGATTCTCTGGGGTTTGACATAAGGCTCTCACATGGCAAGTAGGTGGGGGTTCATTCATAGAGAAAAAAATGAATAAACTGGAAAACAAGACTTCTATGTACTGATTAATTAAAGAAAGACAAAAAACAGGTTGAAGTGGGTCCCCTTCTCTACTTAAAGATTATTATGAGAGGTTCAGTCTACCTGTCTTTAACTGCGTCCTTAAGAAAGTTAAGAAGAGCTAACATCCTATACCTCTGCATAATCTAAATGCTATCATGCCTTAGAAGTTAAACAATGACTTAGATGACTTCAGAATCTCTCCCAATGCAAAAATACTGCACAAACCAGTGAATACAAAAAACAGATTTTAAAACAACACCATACAAAAAATGCTTACTTAAGGACTCCACAGGAGAAGGAACTACAAAAGCTATTTCCGTAAGGGCATCGGCATAATACAGCACCTTCTTCTGTCCATTGAAAATGCTAGCCCCAACGTCTTCAGAGGAAATCATTTCATCTAGGAATGAGAAACACTCCATTACTGCTCCAAAAAAGTGGGAAAATCAGTTTCATCCTGCTTCATGAAATTTTAACTGGTTAATAAAATGGTAATCAACAGAAGGCACGTTTCCAGCAAGAACCAATGAGTGCATAAGAATAAACCATAAATGTTCATCAAATGTCTTTACACTAACTTTAAATGATAAAATCTTAATTTCACAGTTTCTGAAACTACTCTAAATTAGGCCACTTCTGATTAGCAGAGACTTGAACTCATCTGTATGAGGCAGATTATGAAAACAGTTTTTTGGGAAGAGGTAATAATCCAAAGGAAGACGACCACCGCAGACCTCGGAAAGGAGTTAGGGCAGGTGTCTGTGTGTTTCCTACTCTTGCTTTCAAGGCATTTCTGTCCCTGGTGTCTTTCTACTTCTCCTCAGCTCTGCTTCTGCTCTACTTTCCTCAATGGTCAGTGACAGAACATAAAATGTACAGGCATTCTGAGTAATAGTATCTGCTCTAAGCCAGCAAGAATGAATTAACAAAAATAACATTCCTGAGAGCTAGTATAGTTCTCAATTAAAACAAACATAATGCCTTACCAGCAAGAATGAATTAACAAAAATAACATTCCTGAGAGCTAGTATAGTTCTCAATTAAAACAAACATAATGCCTTACCAATAATACATAAAAGACCAAAAACCTGACAAAAAACTGGGAAGAGGAAATGAACAAGTAGTTCTCAGGAGAGAAATAAAAATATGAAAAAATGCTGAAACTCAATCATTTCTCAGCTAACAGATTGGAAGATAATGTGGGTGAGGATGTGGCAAACAGAAGTTTAGACCAGAGGTTAACAAACTTTCTCTGTAAAGGATCAGACAGTAAATAAGGCTTTGTAGGCCAAATGGTCTCTGCCACAGCAACTCAAGTATGAAAGCACTGCAGCATGAAAGCCGTCATAAACAATACATAAACAGGTGTGGCCGAATTCCAATAAAACTTCATTTGCAAAAACAGGATGCGCTGTAGTTTGCCAACTCCTGGTTTAGACAGTGGGAAGGCACACTGCGTCTACTGTAGTAGACACTTTGCTCACTGCCCCAACACCCACTCTGCCGCAGGTGTGACCCGTGTGGGACTGACCCTTCATACCAACGGGACCTTGTCTATAGCTCTCTACCGGGTCATTCCATCTCTCTTGCCACGGCAACAGGTCTGGAGTGGCCAAATCACCGCGTATCTAAGGACCCGGATGTAGGGAGGTTCTGAGACCCAGCTAATCTCTCCTCTTCAGGCTACGGTTGGTATGTGAATGTAAAGCCTGGTATGGCCTTTTTGTACTATGAGAGAAGCCAGGCTAGGGACAAAGTCAATATATGAACAGCAGAGCTGAAGGAAAATTGCAGAGCAAGAGAATGGGGTGCTGATCAAATGACAACAAAAACGTATACTAACCTCTGGAATTTTCATTTACATCGGACAATAAATGACCTTTAAAATATAAGCCAGTTTGGGTCAAGTTTTCTGTTACTGCAAACATAAGCATCCAATGATATTTTTATCTAATTGAAAAATGTGCATATCCTTTATAAATTTACTTATAGGAATTAAATATACTCAAGCATATATTAAAGGATATGTAGAAATTAAAATTAGAGTATATCCCCAAATACTTCGATTCAATCTTGACTGAAATTAGAAAAAATGACAGGTCACAAGTCACCATGGTATTCAGTGGGAAACCCCAAGAGAGTACAATCTTGCTGAAAGAGCAACTCTGATAATTCAAAGCACTGGATACAGGTATCACCCACTTCAGAGATGGTATTAACTCTTCAGTGACTTCAGGAGCCCTCAGAACAAAGAGCATTAGCCAGGTGGTGCAAAGGTCTTAAGTTTAAATTTATACTTGCTCTGGTACTTATTATCCTGATTATAGTTCCTCAAGAAGATTTTTTTTTTTAAAGATTTTATTTATTTGAGAGAGAGAGAATGAGAGATAGAGAGCACGAGAGGGAAGAGGGTCAGAGGGAGAAGCAGACTCCCTGCTGAGCAGGGAGCCCGACACGGGACTCGATCCCGGGACTCCAGGATCATGACCTGAGCCGAAGGCAGTCGCTTGACCAACTGAGCCACCCAGGCGCCCCCCTCAAGAAGATTTGTAGATATGGGCATGAATCTCTCCAAGATAGCTGTTTACTACAAAGGTTTCTATATAATATCCCAAGAATGTGGGGCACCTGGGTGGCTCAGTTGTTAAGCATCTGCCTTCGGCTCAGGTCATGATCCCAGGGTCCTGAGATCGAGCCCGCATTGGGTTCCCAGCTCATTGGGAGGCCTGCTTCTCCCTTTCCCATTTCCCCTGCTTGTGTTCCCTCTCTCGCTGTCTCTATCAAATAAATAAAATCTTAAAAAAAAATCCCAAGAATGTAAACTTTAATTATAGCCACAAAGTCTATAAAACACACCTGTTAATAGAAAACTGTATTGGACAAAATATACGTTAGCAAACGTATTAGCAAATAAATCTCATTACAATACTCTTATAGAAAACAGAATTTGTTTACTCACAATATAAAAGGGAACTTATTAGCCTTATGTTATTTAAACCATGAATTTTAACTAACTTTATCTATCTGTCTGTCTATAATTTTTTCCCCCATTTATACAGAAGACATCCGAAAGAATATACAAACTAGTGTTAAGTGGCCTCTTCTAAGGACTCAAATTAGGGGAAGAAAACTTTTCTTTAATAACCTCTGGTTTGTTTCTTTGCAAAATAAGACTACAAACTTATAGTAAAGAGGGAGAAATCAAGAACAACAAAACAAGAAAAAACAATGACCATTATGAGTTTTACCTTGTTCAGGTCCTTCACCATCGTCACAACTGTTAATAGACCAACTGGTGGAAACATGCCCCGTCCAACCAGGGTGTCTGCCCACATCTACTGACCAGCCAAGAGAAAGCAAAAATTCTAGGAAATGTGGCTGAACATTTCTGGAAGATTCCACATTCTTTAAAATCTGAAATACATACCAATCATCAGCTATAATGAAGGAAACAAAAGAGCATATCAAAATAAATCTCCATAAAAATCAGTTAGCTTTGAAGTATCTGACAAATTAAGTCTAAGCTCAGAATAAACTTGGGAATACATCCCTATAGTTAAAAATGATGCTTCTAGTTAGATTTGGGTTCAAATCCTGGCTGGGCCTTGGGAAAGTTTCTTAACCTCACTGTTTCAGTATCTTCAACTCTAAAGTAGGGATAATAATGATGGTTTGTGAAGATTAAGTGAGATAATGCAAGTAAAGCCTTTAGCTTCCCCTCTAGCAAAACAATTACTAAACTAGACATATTTACTAAAAGTAAATTAAAACTGCTACATCCCTGTCTGCACAGACTTTACTGTCTGGTTAGTGAGGTACTTTACACAGGTATGTGATTATTTTATTACACATGATGACAAAGGATATAAAAGTACAAATCTATTAAAAATTCAATAAAGATTAGGTATAATAAGCGAGAAAACATCCTCCTCTTAGTCCAAAGAAGAGAATGCAGCCACTCCAGAAAAAAATAAAGTGACCAGAACGTTCTCCCTTCTTAACTAAATACCAGATTTAATACCTGGGCTTTTTACTGGCCTCGAAAAGTCCCTAAAACCATGGTTCTCATAGGGGTGATTTCCCCTCTAGGGGCCAAATGGAATGTCTGAAGACATTTTTGTCATCACAACTTGTGGGGTACTACTGGTATCTAGTGAGTAGAGGCCAAAGATGCTGCTAAATGTCCTATTTATAGGACAGCTCCCATAACAAAGAATTATCTAGCCTAAAATAGCAATAGTACTGCTGTTGAAAAACCTATACTAAGGGAAGGAAAATGAGAAATCCTCTACAAATTATAAATGAAAAGGGGGGAATGTATCAAGATCACCAAGGGAATATTTTTTCTTGAACATTTCATTAAACTTTTTATTCAATAATAATTATAAAACATTTATTTAACTTTCATTTAATTTTGCATTAAATGTTATTTCCGTTGTGAAAATAAATGACTAAAATATTAAGTGATTTATCTGATCTATAGTTCTTAATCTAAGATCTTTCAACTTATAATTTAATATCTGTAGTAGAATATTAAAAGTATGCAGTATGAATGACATCTATAAAACACATAAATCATACAACACAAAAGCAAAGAGTATAAGGATCACCTGACAGTGAACACAGCAATAGATATCACTGTTGATAGCATTCAAAGTCAGCATACAGAGATTTGAGGCATTCTTGAATTCAGACAGGGGTGAGCTGACATTGATTCTATAGGACCAGGGAAACATAAATCTGCCACCTGGGCAATTTCTTAAACATGAGATTTGCTTAGACCACTGCAGACCTTCTACACAGCATCAGCAGAAGTAGGATCCTGGAATCACTATTTTTAAAACTCTCCAATTGACAGTGACAGAGTTGGTCCACAAGTCACAGATGTGGTTCATCAATGCTAATCTATGTCAAGACCATACAGAGGCCTGATCAAATCAAAATATGGGGTGTTCCCTCTATTACCTGTCAATCCACTGGGCGAAAATTGCCAGGCCATCATGTCTTAAACACTTCTCGTTAGAAGTACACCTATGTAGTTCACCCACAGCCCTTCATAGTCCTATAAGTGTCAGGAACCTGATTGACAGCCACTTCCAGTTTTCTTTCAATTAAAATTTTTATTCAGAAGTGGAAGTTTTAAATAAACAATTTCTGAAAAGTTAGTCAAGACACAATAGATGAGTCAAATTCAACCTGCAGGCCACTGGCTGGCAGCTAGAAATTAATCTAAAGCTACCCTGCAGCTAGGGAAGGTGCAGCTCAGACATTCTATAGGAGGCTGCAAAGACTGCAATGCTCTAATCACTCTCAGTTCCTAGAAAGCTAAGGAAACTGAATTAATTTAAGAGCTACCTCAACAGTTTGTGTCTTCTTTCACAGTAAGGAGAAAAATGGCCCTATTATTGTCATACGAACCATGCATGAGACTTCTTCCAAACAAATCCTCAACTCCGGCAATCAACCCCATTCTGAGGTTCTTTCAAAAACCTGGACTCCACTAGTCTCACCTCCAGCTATCATAAGCCCACATTCTCCCAAGCTCCAAAGTATCCTGGACTCCAGTGAATTTTGTGAAGATGGAATTCTCTCTTACCTTCAGGGCCATTACACATGCTACGACTTTGTTAGTAACAACCTGCTTCTACCTTTTTACCTACACCCAGTGTAACCACAGGTATCAGCTAAAATGTCTTTTTCTACTAACCTTCTCAAAACAAGATTAGGTTTTCCTGTTGATGACTACTATAACATGCTTCTAATTAGCACACTTTACTACGGTTGCTTAGTCATCTGTCTTTCCCTTTAGACAGTAGTTCTGGGACTCAGATACCTTGTAGATCTGATCTGATCTCAGATACCTTGTAGTTCACCACTGTAACCCTGGCACCTGATAGTGGACACTTAATAAATATTTATTGAATCAATAGCATGAGATGAGAAGAACTTTCTCATAAATCAATCTCATTTTCTAGCAGTTCACCAATTATTTGAAATAGTGCTTCTAATAGAAATAAACATTTTGTGACTTTGATAGATTTTTTAAGGTATGATCAATTTGATTAGCTAACAGTATTATAAGGGTTACAGTAAAATTCCAAGATCATGTAGTCATAGTGCCCTACACATCTAATACTGTATTTGATAAATCTTCCTTTGGTCCTTTCCTAGTCAAAAGTTGGTAACTGCCTGCCTATTGGATGTTTCAACTATTCATTTCCAACAGACACTTCAAATCTCTTGTCATTTACTCTCAGTTTTCCCATTAACCCTCATCTTATATTTTTCTTCAACCTTTTACTCTCTTTAATACATGCACCAACTTAAGTCTTCTTTAACTTAAGTTTTATTAAGTCTTCCACTTCTGTCTTTTATATTATTTCAGGGTGTTCTTTCCCCCGCCGTATGCTATGCATGCCTCAAGTGAAATTACTGGCTTGTAAAATTACCTGGAAGGTGAGCTCCTCGAGAGGAAAGACTGTTACTCACTTCTATACCCAGGCACGGTGAGCCACACAGAAGATGTTCAGTAAATATCTGTTGCTATTTTTCATCTTTTTAAGCAATCGAGCCTAGCTTTAGCTTTTTGTGGTTAACCTTCTGTATTTCAGTTTCTTTTGTCCTATCAACCTGAATTCTTCAAGGGGAAGAAAGACACACTATGGCTCCTCTCTAAATCACCTTCTTCTGAGCGTCAAAAGACTTAGGACTCTGGGCATCACAATTTTCATTAATTTCATTCTCAACTGGTTCACAATTCTTTAAGCATCAAGTATAACCTCCCTCCTACTATGGATAAACAAAAGCCAAGTAAAACTTTTTAACATTTATAGCATAAAAAATTATCCCCAAAATTCAGAAATCTTACCTCCTGGTTTGTTTTCTGACCTGGTTTCATATAGAAAATAAAAACTGTGTCAAAGGGACGACATGGCAAGAGATCCAGATATCCAATGTCATCAAAAAATCCAGGTATCGTGGAGTCAAGTGCAATAAGGTGAGGAGGTAGGCGACTATTTGCAGGCTCCTACCACAAAGGAAGAAAGGAGAAATTATCATCTCTTTTCACTATTCTAATTATAAAAGCAATACTTGCTCATGGTTTAATATTAAGTAAAAAAATTATAAAGTGGCAGGAATAAGCACAACCATTATCCTGAACTAGAAAAGCTATTTAACATTCTTGTATACTTCCTTTCAATTGCTTTTTTTGTCAAAGACAATGGAGATCATACCATGTATATAATTTTGGATCCTATTTTCTCTGTAATATATCACGCTTTCTAGAAAAAAATAAAAAATTTCATGGGGGGAGCCCGGGTGACTCGGTTAAGTAGCCGAGTCGATTTTGGCTCTGGTCATGATCTCAGGATTATGAGATTGAGCCCCCACATTGGGCTCCATGCTGGAGCCTGCTTGAGATTCTTTCTCTCCCTCTCCCTATGCCCCTCCCCCCACTTGTGCGAGCTCAGAGTAATGTTCATACTCTCCATCACCAACTCACTTTTCTACAACACAGAACATTTTCAATGTGCTGAAACCCAAAACCAGCAATGTTGCCCCTGCTTCCCTAAAAAGTTAACCTCTGGCCTTTAACCAAGTAACTGCTAGGGAGTGAGGGCAGGGGACAACTTGTGCAATGAGCAACTTCTTGCCTAGCACATGTCAGTTGTGCTTTTCAAAACAAAGAGGCCTTAGTACAAACCCCAAATCCACCTCGGGCAAGCTATTTCACATTTCTGAGCCTGTTTCCACATCTGTAAAACACGGATAGTATCACTTTCTTTGAAACTGTTTTAAGGATAATGGAATTAAGAATAATGGTAATAGGAGTGCCTGGGTGGCTCAGTCGGTTAAGCGTCTGCCTTCAGCTCAGGTCATAATCTCAGGGTCCTGGGATCAAGCCCCATATCGGGCTCCCTGCTCAGTGAGGAGTCTGCTTCTTCTTCTCCCTCTGTATCTCCCCACATTTTAAACATTTTTTGTGCTTTTTCAAATAAATAAAATCTTAAAAAAAAAACAAAAAAATAATGGCAATATCTGGGCCCTGGCTGGTTCAGTCAGTAGAGTGTGTGACACTTGATCTCAGGGTTGTGAGTTCAAGCCCCATGCTGGGTGAGGAGCCTACTTAAAAAAAAAAAAAAAAAAAAAAAAAAGGCAATATTTACCTTCCAGGTTGGCTGGCTGTGCACTAAATACTGCATGAAGCATCTCACACAGTCGCACACAGCCACAGTGAGGTGGGTACTTTTATTGTCTCCATTTCAGATGAGGGGCTAAGACTTGGAGACATCAGGCAACTGCCCAAGATCACACAGCTGGCAAACACTGGTGCCAAGACATAAACCCAGCCAGTTTGATCTTAGAACCTGGCCACAACATAAGAAGTTCTCCGCTCACAAATACCTGTTACTTTTTAAAAGTTGCATTAAAGAGCAGAGGCCATTGTAGCTTGTACCTTCAGTCATAAATGTTGACAGGAGAAGATTTTCAATATTCTTGTTCTAATTATCTGTAGATTTCATTTACACATGTGATATGGGCCCTACAGTACTCAGGGAATTTCAGAGCTAGGTGTATTACCAAAGCAGCCCCCTCAGACAGGCAGATCGTCCCCTCAATCCGGAAGGATTCATGGGACAAACAGTATTGGACTTGTAGAGTAAAAACTACAGCACCACAGAATTTTATCGAATTGCAATGCAGGGTAAGATTTATTTATTTAATTCCTTCTGTCCTCAAAAATGTTTTAGCTATTATCAACTCCATGTTAATTTATGAATATATTTACTCATAGGAAAATTACCTTCAATGCTTCTAAGGACAAAAATCCAAAGTGGGAAAGGAAGAGGCGTGCTGTTTGGAATTCCTGGGCAGGAGGTGGAGGCTTACAATCCGTAACTGGATCAGGAAAACTTCTCTTTTGCAGTTCTTCCTCACTTTGATGTTCAAGGTGTACTTCATAAGCAATCTGCTGGGTCATGCCATTCCTTAATTTTTCATGTCTCTCTTCTAACTGAAATAAACCAAATATTTAATTATTTTGGAATTATCATAAAAGTACTAGGATTAATCTTAAATTAAGAATAAAAATAAAGCTTTAAGCAACTAAGGAAATGCAGATAATTTTCACTGATCAACACTGAGCTTCAATTCAACAGAGAATGCAACTAAGCAAACATGTTTCAAGGTTAAAACAATTACCCAAAAAACTCCCCTGTAGCCTCAACAATGATGTCCTTCATCTCCTTGCTGTAAATGAAACCATTCTGTCTCTGCTTCCCCTCAAATGGGCAAGAAAGGGGGCAGAGTTGTTGCTTTCACCCCCTCTCCCTCACCACTGTCCACCCTCACCCTACAGCCCCTCACGTTGAAAGTCCTCATCCGTATGGATTACTCCACTAGATTCAGAGACTCTCTCTGACCGCCTGCTTCCCTTCTGATCAATCCTAGCTTAAACTCCACCCTCTGTGGTGAGCGATGATCCTTCCAATAGCCTGGCTTGTATTTCTATAACCTCCTCAACCTTCACAACTTTGGCCATCTACGAGCACACTCTGTACCTCAGATAAGCTGTACTTTAAAGAGCTACAATGGTGAGATTCCCTTCTCCAACCACAAGCCCCCTCCTGCAGCTCTCCCACACCTTCACTCCCCAGCTGTGCTTTCCCAGCACCGTGAGTATTCAATCCCTCCCCGTGTTGTCCCAGGCCAGTAGTATCCTTGCTTTATCTATTTCCCAACCAAGCCTAACCCCCCAAATCTAACATCTTAGTACCCTCTTCTAAACATATAAATGGCCATGTTTTTTTATTCTTCCATATTCTTACCCCTATCAATCTCCACACCACTCAAATTTTTTTACTTAATGCCTCCGGATCCCAAGGACTTTTGAAGAAGTAAGCACAGTAAGTTAAATAATTTCACCACAGACAATTCTATTTAACCTGGGCTGGGCTGCCTGGCAATTTTATGAGCTATCTTTTATTCCCTATTTCACTGCTAAGAACTAAAATTTAATATTTACATGAGCTCCCTCCTTTCCACCTTCAAATGTCTCTGAACCTCCACCTGTTCTCTCCTTCTCTCCTGTCTTGCCAGAAATATGGTTTTTCTAGACACCATCACTCAGACTCTTGACCGTACTGCCTCTAGGGCTTTATTTGATTACTTATCATTTTCCTAGCCCATCTTACAGTATTAGCAGACACAGGCCCTCTTTCCACTGCTTCCTTCTTTCAGCCTCTAAGCATGTTCATATTCCTCACAACTATGAGTTAAAAAAAAAAGAGAGAGAAAGAAAGAAAAAAGAAAAGTAAAAACTAGCTTTGCCTTGCCTTAGCTAGGCCATTTCCTCATGCTATTATCCACTCTCTTAAAACTTTTTTTTTTTTTAAAGATTTTTATTTATTTACTTGACAGAGAGAGACACAGCGAGAGAGGGAACACAAGCAGGGGAGTGGGAGAGAGAGAAGCAGGCTTCCCGCGGAGCAGGGAGCCTGATGTGGGGCTCGATCCCAGGACCCCGGGATCACGACCTGAGCCGAAGGCAGATGCTTAACGACTGAGCCACCCAGGTGCCCCTTATCCACTCTCTTAAATGCTAACTGTGTAGTTCATGTTCAGTGCCTCTCATTAACCACTCACCCTTCAGCACCTTACACTCCTGTCCCTGATTTTAACACTCTTTTGGACCTGCTCTCAAAGGTCACCCACACGTTCATGCCAAAATCCAGGGGCCTCTACTTAGTGCTCCTTCTCTCTGATCTCTCTGATTAGTGTAAGCAGCCTCCATTCCTGTCCTATTCTCTCATGCCCTGACATACTTCTGCCCCCTACTTCTTAAACTTCTTCCCTCTTGATCTAAGATACCAATTACTTAATCTAATTATCTAAATTAATCTAAAACCAAATACATTTTTCCCATCTTCCCAAACATGTCCTCTTCCTAAATAATCCATATTTCTGTAAATAGCACTGATATCTCCTTGTCACTCAGCTTCAGAATCTAAGTTCTTCAGTTTTTTTTCCTTCTCTCATCAATCGAAGACCGCTTGGGTCTACCTCTACAGTACATTCCATGTGTTTCAGCTTCCACTATTAGCCAGGTAGTCCTTCCTTTTCCCTGCCTTGATGGTCATCAAAATCTCTGAATTGGTCTCCCTTCTCCAAATATCCTCCACCATTCTGATCATGTCCCCATCCTGCTGAAACCTACCATGGACCAGCCCAGACACCTCTCTAGGAGGGGTCCAGGTCCTTTCAATCAGCCACAAATACTTCTTACTACATGGTAACCTGGATGACAGAGATCTAGGTCATCTTATGAACCACCTCCAATAACATCAAAAAAAAGCAGTAGTCTCGACCACGGCAGTTGTTCAAGAATGTTTAGTCATTCCCTTAACAACAGCTGACAATAACTTATCTTACTTCTTCAGTGACAATTTCATGCAAATCTGGAATGCTCAGATCTGCTTTCACAAAAGGAATCTTATCCACCTCTTCAGGAAATGGTCGATGTTTGACAGTATATTTAAATCCAACATCATTTTTAGGAACTGGACGAGGTTCAGGTACAAAAAGCTGTTAAAATAAAACAAATAATGTTATGTGAATTACATTTGGTGCCATCTGTAATGACATGTACTTCCCTGGTCTCTTAGATGCCTGTTTCCCTAGGATTACATAACACTGGAACTCAGTAAGAATCTGCAAATACCACTGCTAACACTAAAGGTAAACAGCCTGTGTACCAGTGTATTCCTTTTTTATAAACATGTTCATCATTTTGCAGATTTTGTGACTTATGGGTTGTATACCTCTAACAGCCCCAGGCCAGAATCTCCCATATTAAGTGGTAAACCAACGGATAAGGCAGTTTAGAACTTAAGGCTCAAACTTCCCTCTTCTCCAAGGGTTCTCAAATCATCCCATATAACAAAGTACAAGTTTAGGTCCCCGGGGCCTCTCTAGACAGGGAGTTCAACTGAATACCAAATCTAGATCCTCGTGGCTCCAAATCCCTGCTTTGATATACTTTAACTGTGCGGCTTCTGTTTTTGCATCTGAAAAGTGGAAATAATCCAACACAAGGATGTTGTAATGATTAAATAAAAATGTTTAAGGCACATACTAAAGCATCAACAAATTTTAGTTCCTTTCCTGATCTCCTTCCTCCTGTCTTTAATGCTAATTTAGTGGCTTACAGTGCTGACAGAATGTGATCTGCATGATGCCAACAAGCAAAAACAGGGGTGTGCTCCTCACAGGGTAAAAACACATCTCATCTAAAAGAGACAGCCAGGATGTTAAGTGATTTTAGACACATGCTCCAATTTTGTGGCTGTCTCTCTTAAATGCTGGTGACATTTTATGAAGTCATGTTTTAAAGAATTTTTAGTAACATAAATAAAAGCTTGTAATATAATAAGTGAAAAAACGGTATACAAAAAGGACTCAAATTCTATTTAATATTATCGTGTACAGAAAGGAAAAAAGGCTGTAAAGAAATCCACTAAAGTACTTAGTGACTACCTCTGGAAAGTCAAAGTACAGATGATTTAAAATTTCTTCATTATCTGAATTTTCCAACCTTCTCCCACGAGTAAATTTTATTCACAAAATTACAACATTACAAAGAAAATAAACTATGCCATCCCAAATAAGATTTCATTAAATTATACAGCATATTAAAAAAATTATAGGGCATATTACCAATTATACAGGAATAAATTATGTAAAAACAATGTGAAACTAAGTCCTGTTGCCAGAGATATTGAGAGTCTGGCCAAATTTTTTTCATACATGGCGCATACCTGAGTTTTATTATATTTAACACAACATAAAAAAATGAGGCCACGGCTCAGAACAGTTCTTAATCATAAGTGGATTCTTCAGAATCACCTGGAAAGCTTTTTGAAAATACACCTGTCATGAAGATTCTTTAAAGAGTAATTTAGTGGATGTGGGATTTATGGGATCCTAAGATGATTCTGATGTGAACTGATAGACTGAACCCTGGATCAAAAATATTTATCAATGAATTTTCCTGGGATGTTATTTAACCTTTAAATCATAACACACACGCACACTCGAATGCACGCACTCACTCACTCCTAGTCACGTCCCTATAATTTCTAATGGATACCTTCTGATTTGCTTTTGCTCCTCTGGGTAAAAGGCAAAGTTGTTGTGCCCAAGCAAGTCTTCCAGACATTCCCCGGACCAGCACAGTGACAGAGGGGAAAAAATCATCTAGAATAAAATATTGGTGTAAAAAATTTTTATTTCAGACAACAGTGATTTAAAATACACCTGTTATCAACTGTAGAGCCTCTAATAATCCAAGCCCCAGCACTGTGTTTGAAAGCCACAGTGCGCTTGTCCCTGTGCCACCTCTGCGGCTTCTGCCATATCCACATACCGTAAGTACTATTATCTTACTTTGTATCAACCACTTTCTTTTTTAAACTTAAATCTATTTTAAAAGGAAACTGTGTATGTTTAAATGGAAAACTGTGAATTTTGGTGTTCTGATAATGTATTTTTTAAAAACATGTTTAACAATACATAAAATAATGTTCACCAATATACTAACACCATCTCATGCCTCCAGTGGTACACATACACATTTTTGGCAAACCCTGTGCTAGCCAATATTCTTAGTACAGACAGACCAGTGTCTGCAGTGCTGCTGTTGCATTCCCCCACGCCTTGTGCACTGCTATCCACCACAGGCAGTCACTGTTCCATCCCAGGGGAAGTTCAGGGGCAGGGAATTGGGGGGGCAGGGAGGCGGGGAGGAACTCAAGATGGACTTCCTGAGTGACCCAGATCTTCCTTCTTATTCCCTCTTTTGTCCTGGTGTGGGAGTTAAACTTTTTCAAACTTTTCTTTCTCACTTCTTCTATTAACTATTACAATCAACTATTAAAGTGTCCTCGTGTATCTATAAAATCCCAACTGTCTATACTTTTAGTACACTTCCAATACAGTGAAATTACTTGGAATAAGAGTAGGGAAGTCCTAAAAAATCTGGAAGAGGGCTGACACTTGCCCCTCAGGCCAGGAAACCCAAAGGGAACATGGAGATTTTAGAGTCCTTAGCAGGTGGCCCGGGAGTAGAAGGCTGGAGGAATCATGAATAATAGGCACAAGCCAGGGAAGAAAGTGAAGCAAGCCCTAGGTCTGGGACAGAGAAGAAAGAAGCGCATGCAGGGAAGAGTTGGAACTAGCACTTCTGGACCTGGGCAATGATTAAAGGCCACATCTTTTATATTAAAGTCACTGTATCTTACCACTACACAATGGAAACCTGTCATGGTATTCATTCATCTGTGAACTATAGAGAAATGTCTCATTTTCGTTTTATGGATTCATGAGATTCTACTCATACAGTCTCAACAGAATTTGCATGGACTGTAAGACTCTGTTCACCTTTGTAAAGGTAACAAGTCTTTAATACTGAGAAAATCCTATGGGGCAGGGACAACAGAAAAGGACAGTATGAGGCTCAGAAAATTTGGACACCAGTCCCAGTCATACCATCTCGAGTAACCCTGACCAAGTCACATACCCTCTCTGAGCCTGTTTCTTCACCTGTAAATGAGGGAACAGTGGGTGATTCCCTGGACCCTCTCTGCCCATAGGTTCTGTAACCTTCACTTTCACAGAAATAAGGGTCTCTCTGAGAACATGCTTCCTTTACATATTGGCTGATTCCAACTGCCATCAGAAAAAAAAATATACTCTGATAGCCTGGGTTGCAGTGGTAATCATATACCTTAAGATGGCTTATAATTGGAGGGAAGTTGAGGAAGGAACGAGTGTATGCTGTGTCAATGGAAAATCATTAAAGGGTTTTCAGGAGGGCACTGGCATGGTCAGATCCATACTTGAGGAAGAGTATAATGGTGGCAGCAAGTAGGATTGGGGTAAGGGATAAGACATTTTGGAACCAGAGGAGGGGGGATCAGACCATGTAGGAAGCAACCACAATGATCTCAGTAAGAAATAATAAGGCCCTACATTTGGATGTATTGGGAGGGATGCAGAGGAAAAAAAGATGCAAGAGTCACTGGGTAAGGAGAAACTTGGACACCAGTTATGGCAGGGAGAAACAGGAAGGAGCAGGCCAAGATGACTCCTCAAACTTCCTGCCTGTTTGGGTGGCACAGATAACAGAAATACAACAATGTGGAGTGAGGGCCAGAGGAGGAGAAGGGCAGGATCCGAAGTTCAAGAAGAAGAAGAATAATTTTTATACATAGTACAGAAGAGAAAATACCCCACTAAAGTAAACTTTTTACAGAACTACAGAGCTCCTTTCTGAGATTGCTTTGTATGTATTTCAGATACATACAAAGAGCTCTAAGAGATTCTATTTAATATGTGTATTCTATTTTCCGACCCTCTAATTTTTCAGTTACTACTATCACACAGCCAGAAGACCTTTTGACAAATGCAAAATTGTGTGCATTTGCAGTCTTTTCCTTCCCCGATCCTGTAAACAGCCTGCGAGTACTGATGAACACGTTGATTTAGCAGTGGAGAAGGCCCAAAGTGCTGAAACTTACTCTGTTCATTTCCAAGAGGTTGCTCCAGCATTGCCAGGATGACACTGTTATCCAAGACAAAGTACCGGAAACTATGCTTGTTTATGGTTGGCAGCCTGGAGTATTTAATCAAAGTGGTCTCATTCACCAGACTACAAGGAGAGGCAGGACCACTGGGTGAAGGAAATGCGCCAAGCAACTGCATAATACTACGGAGAATGCAAAAGAGAACAGTTAATCCCCAAAGCAAAATCTTAAGTTTACCTCATGCATCAATGTGTTCTTCTGCTCTTTGAATTTTAATTGACCACAGCCATGCTTCCTCTTTGCAAGTCAGATTTACTCCCTGTGGTGGACATTGTGGTTGTGTGGTCCAGAATCCTGCCTCCAAGACGGAAAACTCCAGTCTCCCAGATGCAGAGAGATGGTGGCCACAGCTTTCAACTGCATCCCTCTCTAGGACCCGCTCTCAGCCAAGAAGAAGCACCTCACCCCAAATCTCCGCTTTGTCCTGGGACAGCCCACAGCCAGTGAAAGGGTGATATGGGCGTATCAAGTCCCATCCCGGCCTCAAAGCTCTTTGTTGCACCTGCCCCAGCTTAGTGCTTCCCTCTGCTCAGTCCTGCCTCCTTCACGCCCACAGCGCGGCTGATCCTAAGAGCACCTTCCAATTAACTTCTTGCAAGGAAATTTCTCTCAGAGCCTGCTATTCAGAGAACCCAACTAACCACACTTCTAAATTGTGGAGCTCCCAAAGATATATTTAAAAAAATATGTTATGTGCTCCAGGTGTCAGGATTATGCTAGCTAAAGCATTCTAGACCTAGCAAAGGACCCAAAGACCAGCCAAACCTCAATATTTCAGATGAGGAAATTCAGGCCCAGATGTGATAAGTCATTTTTAAGCAACCAGGAATCAGGGCTTGCTGCCTTCTCACTGTGTGGTCCTGAGTAGACATTATCCTCATTTTTACAGATAAGACTGGAGGCACTAATAGTACACCTTACAGAACTATTGTAATTACTAAATAAGAATATTTTTAAAAAATGCTTTGTAAACCAGAATTCAACTGAACAAAACTTTAACATTCAGAAATGTTTATGTCCATAGAGATTTCTACATACATTCAATTAATAATAATAACTGGCACTTATCATGAGGCACTGGTCCACTTTACACACGTTCTTTTATTTAGCTATCAAAACAACCCTATGAGGTAAGTACCATTATTATTCCCATTTTATAATGAAGAAACTGAAACAGAGAGAGAAAGTATCTTGTAATGATTTTACCTTGTAGTCCCAATATCACCTGACCCTTCATATGCATCTCATTTGGAGTCTGACGTACTACCAGTGTACCATGAGGCCTTCCCCATATACACTTCATTTGGAAAACTAATACTCCCCAACACATTTTTGTCATCTCAATCCTTAGTTTGAGTGGCCTCTCCCTTTCTCCTTTCCTAATGCCTGAACGCAAATACCTCTGATAATGGAAGGCAACACTGCTCAAGAGATGTTTTCCATCCAAAATGTTCTCTCCTCTTAGGAGGATGGTCTAAAAATTTCAAAGACCAGGAGAATCTGATGGTGAGTTCAAGCCTCTAAGGATTTGTGGAAAACAGGTGAAATACCAGCAGACCAGAAATAGGAAAATGTGACTTCAGTTTTCTAATACAGGACAGAGACAGATGTCACAAAGTATATGGACCATGTGAGTTTGTCATGTTCCACACAAGATTCAAAAACAATATCAAATGGGCTGCTGGCAAGGAAATAGGTTACCAAGATCAAATCACACCAGCCTAACCACATTTTCTCTTCTGATAGTGAGTAGACTGGAAAGGCAGAAAATGGTCTCTGAAATCAAGACATAAGTATTTGACAGTGTATGGTGATAACCTTGGAGACAACACTGAAAAATCCCTGTCAACCTGAATGGAAATCTCTGATGGTGTGCTTTGTGAATCTATCTCTGTTCAATATTTTCACCAGTGTCTTTGATTAGGACACACGCATAGCAGGCTCATTAAATCTGTGGTTGACCAATAGTTGACCTGCAGAGTTAATATGTCAGAGGAAGAGTTGGGATCCACATAATGAGGTAAATCTTACATAAAGAGATCTCAAGTTTAAATGTAGAGTTCTGTACATTCAAATACCCCCAAACAAGTTAAGTACACGATGAGAAAAACAGACAAAAGATAAATGTGTGAAAAGACTCTAATTTTAGTTGACTTTATGCAAATCATCAAGTTCTCAAAAACCCAATGCAGTCTCAAAGTACATTTTAATGAAAATATAATATCCTACAGAGCGTAAAGATCATCCAACTCACCTAGAATATCGTACTCAGTACCTTTAAGAGGTACATACATAGTCAAACCCACACCGCTGAGAGAAAAATGACCAAGATGATAAAAGTACTTGAATCTCTGTCATACAACAAATAGCTTAAAGTACTGGCAGAAACAAATCACTATCTTCATGAGCACTATCTTCAGACATCATTACTGCCTAGAAAGAGGACTCCACTATCAAGAGTTAGAATTAGAACCAGTAGGTGAAAGTTAAAGTGGGAGAGATTTCAGTTCAATGTAAACATCAAATTTTTAACAATAAAAATGAAATGGGAACCCTGGGGGTTAGAGTATCCCAAAATTAGAGACTAAATAACTCGGTATACGTGTCTTACAGGGGGCTTTCGTAGAAGGGCTGCTGAAAGGTGTTCCAAGAGTCCTAATTCTGAATTTGTATTAGCACATGAAGGAGAAAACACCCAACCAGCCAATCTGCACTTCATAACTGTCTACTATTCTTAGCATTGTGAGAGGTGTTGAAGAAGGAAATGTGGCCTCTACCCAAGTTGGGGAGACAACACTAGCATGTATCAAATATAACCAGATACAATTGTGACAGTATAGAATTCCATACTATGCAGTCCGGTCTGACTGCATGAGCACAGAGGCACAGAAAAGAGTCATCATTCAGAAGCAGAATAGCCAAGGAAGGTCCCATGGAGGCAGCCAGATCCAATGTGAGCACTGAACAGTGGAGGATGTGATCACAGGGAAAAGAGGGAAGTCATGAAATCCAGGGAATACACAGAGACAGGTATGAGCATGCCCACAAATGGCCTGCCAGGTCCCACTATGGCAGAAGGGATGTGCTGGGAAAGATCAGACAGTATGAGAAGGGACAGAATAAGGAGGGCCTTGACAGCCAGACAAGGAGTTGACAACATGGCAGGAAACAGATCTATTCAGTTTTCAACCACTCACGCAGCAGAAAGAAAAAACAGTGCCTAAGGGTGAGTTCAAAAACGGAATGCAAGGGGCGCCTGGGTGGCTCAGTCGTTAAGCATCTGCCTTCGGCTCGGGTCGTGATCCCGGGGTCCTGGGATCGAGCCCCACATTGGGCTCCCTGCTCAGCAGGAAGTCTGCTTCTCCCTCTCCCACTCCCCCTGCTTGTGTTCCTGCTCTCGCTATCTCTCTGTCAAATAAATAAATAAAATCTTAAAAAAAAAAAAAAACGGAATGCAAGATGAACAGGGTGAGATTAAAAATAGGGAAATTGGGTAAGAAGTGAGAAAAGCCTAGACCAGGATGCTGAGGTTAGAGGGGATGGAGGAAATACTTCTAAAAATAAAGTCTACTGGACTCAGTCACTGGCTTCATATGGGGAATGACAGATAAAGCAGAGATAACTCAGAAAAAAAGCCAAAGGTCTGTGTTTGCATAATCAGAAAACAGCAGTAATTTTGAGAGAATAGACAGATTTGGTTTGGGACAGGTTTCATGATGACAATACTCTGCAGGGCCCTCTTCAAGACTGGTAACTGGAGATACCATTTGTGGAGCTGGCAGCAGAAACCAGACAGCTGCAGATAAAACAGATGAGCCACCTAGATAACCACTGGCTAGGTTGCCTGGAAGCCAGGGCTCACTACTCATTCTGAGCACATATCCAATTCTTGCAGCGTCATATTCTCACAGGAATGAGGCTAGGATGCAGCAAACTTACTTTTGTATAATACAGAGTTCCCAGTGAGAAATGCTCTCCCCGTTTCTCTCCATATCTTTCTTACTCTTCCAGGCACACATCAAGGCTCAGTTCTTTTATAAAGTTTTTCAGTCTACCCCACCCCCAACATGGTCTTCTCTCTGAACTTTTTTTTTTAAGACTTACTTGAAAGAGAGCGTGTGCGTGCCACATGAGCGTACACACACACACATACACACACACACAGTGGAGGGAGGGGCAAAGGAAGATAATCTTTGAGCAGACTCTCCACTGAGCGTGAAGCCCAACTCGGGGCTCAATCTCACCACCCATGAGATCACGACCTGAGCCGAAACCAAGAGTTGGAAGGGCACCTGGGTGGCTCAACTGGTTAAGCATTTGCGTTTGGCTCAGGGTCCTGGGATTGAGCACCGCATCAGGCTCCCTGCTCAGCAGGGAATCTCCTTCTCCCTCTGCCCCTCCCTCCACTCGTGCACAATCTCTCTCAGGTAAAGAAAATCTTCAAAAACAAAACCAAACCAAGAGTTGGACACTTAACTGACTGAGCCATCCAGGCACCCCTCTGAACTTGTATTATTTCTAGTACTCATCGCCTGTGTAAGTACATGTTTTAACAGTTGCATTCACATTTTCCTAATTTTCTAGCTATTAGCCAAACCTCCAGAAGCACACTGAGAGCCTAGCCAGTGCAGTAAGCAGGACTAAACTAAAGCATGAATGCTTCTAAAAACGTACTGAATGACCAAAGCCCAAGAGGAAGAGAAATGAATCCAACTTTACTGTGCACGCCCCAAGTGATAAATAGACCATTGAACTCAAAAGATTCTGGGATCTTGGTAAGGGCTGATTTACATACAAATCTGCAAGCAGTCTTGCCTACCACTTTACAACCAAGATGAGCCAATCCAGACCAACCTGACATCCTCCTTCCTGCTTTTATGTTTTCTGGGTCTTCACCCACACCTACCCTTTCATAAGCTCCAACTTTCCAACTGTTATGTGATTCTACCAAATCTTCACTCAACTCTTCCCTCCAATCCATAAATATGCCTACACTGCCTTCCTTCCCTCTTTCCACTCTCCTCACGTACCAGCCAAATCCAAACTCTTTCAGCAATCTTTATTATTTTTCTAAGGTTCCAACCTGTCTCCATCCATTCACTACCAAAATGATTAGAACAGAAATCTTCTCTTGCTGCCTTCTTAACCACTCTATAATCTGGCTTTTGATGAAACTTCACCCATCCTGTAAAACTCAGGTCCAATGTCATCTCTCTAGAAATCTCTGATTGCCCCATATCTGGAAGTATTCATTTCCCCCTTCCAGCATGTTATTATACCTCTTCTCCTGCAGCACTTACTCTCCACCTAACATTATAGCTATTTGTGCTCATCTCTTACCTTCCCTATTGGACAAGAGGGTGGTGACTGAATCTGATTTATCTTTACAATCCTATTACAAGTTCGTAAGAGGGAGCTCATAAATCTTGACCGAATGCACTTCTAATACGTATATAAATGTAACAGAATACAGATCACTGAGCTAAGAAGCAGGAGACTTAATAGTGTGACCTCAGGCAGATCCCATCTCTGGACTCAGGCACCAAAGTGAAGAGGAAGAGTAAGGCTCTCTGAGATCCTGTATAACTCTAATATGATATGACTTCAATTAATGCCAACTAGCACAGAAAAACAAGGACCCAAACTCTCAGCCCCATATTCCTGGTTTCTTTTGGTCCCCAAAACAAGTTTTTCCTTTCCATTTTATTTCTAAAGAAAAAGTATCCTGGAAGATTACATCACTTCAGGCTGAACAACTGGGGAGAAGAAACAACATGGATCGCAGCTAACCCCATCTAATTGCTAGGTGCAATCCCTGTGCAGTCACTTTGCATACCATGTTAGGGTGGCTTCAGCAGCATCCTTTACCCTCATAGATGCAGGGTTTGGCTCCTTATCTCCTTTGTACTTGACCTCTTGCTCACTGTTCTTGGACTTACTTCCTGAAATACCCAATTCCACAATCTCCAATACTTCCTTAAGACAGTCCTAGAAGCAGGAAAGGCAAATCAGTTTTTGTAATAAACCTATCTTATGAGAAGATAAGGAAATACAGCAAAATGCTAACAGTGGTTGTGTTTTGGTGGTGGGCTTCAGTTTCCTTCTCACTTTAATAGGTGTATGTTAATTTCACAATAATATAATAAACTTTGCCCCCCAATTTTTCTTTAAAGAACTGAATTTGAATGTTCAGAATTAGATAATAAATGATAAAATCAATTCAATCTTATCAGTTATAATTCTTATAAAATTACCACAGACTATAAAATCATGAAAGCCCAAGTTTAAGAGATAGAACGGTATAATTCAGTTAAACATGGGGTGGTTTAAGACATTAAGTCACTAAGATTAAAAAAAAATTCAGGAGCAAGATGGAAACCTAAGACATTAGATTATCCAAAGGGAAGTTCATCAGTTACTGAAAATTTTAAGCAATTCTTGGTACCATAACATTAGAAGCCATAATGAAAATAACTAAGATTTAATCAACAGTATTATTTTAAAATGATATAAAGCTCTCCATAAATATTCAATGAGACTGATACCTCTTATTTACACTATGAATTCTTGAAAACCACCTGCCTCCCTGTAAGGAAGATATTAAATGGAACAATGGCAAGGGAAATCAGCCTAGATATCTGTGCCTACTTGAAAGTGGGAAATATGTGTGAAATGAAATTTTTAATATACAGGCAAACCGTTATGGCAAGCTGTGCTCTAGGTTTGCAACCTGGCTACCAACTGCCCTTCGAAGTTTGGCAATGGGTGACCAAAGTGCCTTCTGGCCATCTCAAAGCTACCACATCCTTTCAAGAAAGAATTTTCTTGATAGTTCAGATAAATTAGTCAAGGCTCCATCTTTCAAAAGAACTTCTCTATGGATTAATTTGCAAACAAATATAAGCATGATGACAATTTTTGAGTTGAGCCCAAAAGGACAAGTGTCCTACCAAAATATAACAAGTATATTCAGTTTAAAGTATGCAATATTGTATTTAAATATTCTCTTTTAAGAAGCATCTTCCCAACATACACTTTTGTTTCTCCTTCCTGTTTTAAGATCTACTAAACTAACCTTTTCATCAAGCATATCAGGGTGCTCTGTCAGCCAGACACAGAGACACTGAAAAGCTGCTACTATCATGGAGTGCAGATCCCGGGAGTGAAGAGGAGCTGGCCGACTACACTGGTACACAATGTAGCTGCACACGGAACTGATGGCTCGCTTCCGGTCTCCGGAGTCAACCACCACCTTCACCTGAGCATATTCATATGGGGAACACAGTTAGCCAGGAACCACTGTACTGATTTCAAACTATCTGCACTGCAGCCTGGCCTTTCTGACACTGGGATACACCACAGGAAGCCTTGCGTTCAAAAATTTTATTTATACAAAGGCACCTGGGTGGCTCAATCGGTTGTGTCCAACTTTTGATTTTGGCTCAGGTCATGATCCCAGGGTTGTGAAATCAAGTCCCATGTCGGGCACTGTGCTGGGGGTGGAGCCTGCTTGAGATTCTCTCTCCCCCTCTCCCTTTGCCCCTCCTCCTGCTCTCTCTCAAATAAATAAATCTTAAAAATAAATATTATTTATACAGAGAAATATTTCAGATATATCATCATAAAATACTCTATAAAATCAGAGAACATTTTTCAAACTCCAAAACAGTTATTTCATTTTAGCATATTTTTTCATTGGCTAAAAACCTAAACTCCTGGAGTGCACCTATCCGTCATCATCAGATATCAAAAGAATATCTGGCAATGGAACGTGTATACATTTCCGAAGCCCCCTAACCCAACCCTGGAGTGATGCTCTATGGGCTATAAAGTTCTGTATGGCTGCTCAGAGGTATAATTAACATACAGGAAACTACACATATTTAAAGTGAACAATTTCATAAATTTTGGCATAAGTATACACTTGTGAACTATCACCACAATCAAAATAGTAGACATATCCATCACCTCCCAAAATATCCTCATGCATCTTTCTAATCCTTTCTTCCACTCCTTTATGCCCCTTCCTTAGGTTACTACTGATCTTTCTGTCAATACAGGTTAATCTGCACTTTTTAGAGTTTTATACAAATAAAATCATATGTATTGTATTCTTTTTTGGGGGAGGGGGCCTGGCTTCTTCTTCTCAGCATAAATATTTTGAGATTTATGCACATTTTTATGTGCATTTATTAAAATCAGATGATCCTACAATGACACAAAATGTCATGCTGAAAATTTAAGGGTATTATAAGAAAATACAAAATCAACAGGTAGGGGCGCCTGGGTGGCTCAGTCGTTAAGCATCTGCCTTCAGCTCAGGTCATGATCCCGGGCTCCTGGATCCAGCCCCGCATCAGGCTCCCTGCTCAGCAGGAAGTCTGCTTCTCCCTCTCCCACTCCCCCACTTGTGTTCCCTCTCTCACTGTGTCTCTGTCAAATAAATAAAATCTTAAAAAAAAAAAAATCAACAGATATTCTATTAGCATGTGCAAATAAACAGGAAGTACTGAAATGTTTCCTGTAACTTAATAGCAAAAGTATCATTCATAATCTTTGAACCTATTAAAAAAAGTAAAGTTCACTTTGTAAAATTTCACTTGGAGGCTCACTTTTGCACACTCCGGATAAAACTATGTTTGAGTATAAGCAACACTGTAATACCCATATCAAGCAGTTGAGAGATACAGGAAAAAGAATCATGGTCCAAAGCTATTGGGCTAAAATAAAAGTACTGTTCTCCTCACCTTTGCCAGGCCAGAAAGGAGCTCTAGAGCTGCCAGTGATATGCTCATGTCTTGCCGCCACTGGGAGTTGAGTCTTTGGGTGACAAGATGAATGCTGCGAATCAGGAGCCCAGCAGCTGAATCTGTATTAAGAGCTAGGATATAACCCCAATGCCACATCCCACAGGGAGGGAAAACAACTAAGCATTAGTAACGAGAAGCACAGCATTCCACCAGGCACAGACCACAGCAGCCACAGTGAGCACGACGGGCACCCACACAGTGCTATGCTCCCCACCCCACTGGCCTCAGCGTGAAGCCTGACTGAACAACAGTGCACAGGGCACACACACTGGACCAAAGCAGCTTCTAGCTCCCAGCTCAGGTACTTTTACACAGACATCCACTAGGATTTGGCAGTTCAATATATCTTAAAATTTCTTAATTAACTCATAGAGAGTTACATTTTCAAAAAAAACAATGAAAAGGCTATCAATTATTTCCTTGGAATTTTATAGAAGAAAGAATTCACATTTTTAGAATCTCCTCAGATGTTAGGAATACCCTAAAACATCTGTTGACATTATTTTCAGGGTTTAAACTATCAAAAGTCACATGCAAAGCCTTTTCAAACACATTTTAACATTTAGTTCTCTAAAACTACTTTAATGTTTCTTAAAAAAAACATTAAATAACCAAGTCAACATATTTTTATTTGACCTCTAATTCTACATTTAAAAGTAATTACTACTTAGCTAATAATAAATTAGGACAAATTAAACTGATTTTATAAAGGAAGCTTTAGGGACATTATACCTGTCGATCCTATCAGAAAGAGGGCAGTGACAACAGAAAAAGGAATGATCATTAAAGAGAGACATTCATGCGACACTAACACAAATCTGGATTTCTTAGTAAAAACTACTTTACGACATTACAAGCAGAACTCACTAACACCAGTTCAAAAGGCTGAAACAAACAATAATCACTTCAAACATTTATATTAGAACACATACAATAATTCAAAAAGTTCTTTAGTTCAGAAGTGTTTTAGAAAGCATGAAAAACAAATTTTCACCCACTGTATACTTAAATCCATGAACATAATGAATAAGTTAACAATTTAAATAAGTGCTTTATAAATGCAATATTTAAATTTGTTGAATAACCTTAACATAATGACCTGATGTATATGACATGCTCAAGGATACTTAAACTTAAACATGCCTGGACTCCTAGGCTCATGAATTTTCCAGATAATTAAAAAATTAAATTTACATCTAAGGATCTAGATTTCATTCCAATCATGTTGGACTAGCACTCACAGATTCAATACAATATTAATAATCATGTATAAAAAAAAGGCACCCACAAATTCACAGAACCCGTAAAGTAAGTGCCAAGGTACAGGACATCACTGAATAGGATGCTCTGCTAGCAAATGTTTCCTTACTTTTGCTTAAAATTTATAGGGTATATAATTTTTAAACACAAAGACTCTCTCCTCTGGGTTCCATCTAATGTATATTTTATCACTTCACGTACCACACTGCAATAATTGATGTGCTGGCTATCTCTATCATTAGAGCCTGAGGCAGAGCACGTTCTATTTCTCCATATTACCAGTATCTGGTAAAAGAATCCATAAATTTTTCCTGACCCCCCCACTATAATCATTTATAAAATCTAATAAACTACCCAAAATCTAGCTACTAAAAGCTACAGAGATAATTTTAAAAAATCTGTTTTCTTTTAAAAAATCTTTTAGACTAATAAGTATTAGATTATTAAATATTATACTTAAATACATTAAAATCATGAACATTAAAATTTTGTTTAAAAAGATTGTTTTATGAATCTGGGCATTAATACTTATTCAATAACCTTTGGATTTCAAAAAAACAAACATGGCTTACCATAATCCCTTAGGAGAGCTTGAGCAGGTCTTTCACTATCGGGAGTTGTGGGCTCTGTGCTTCCACCACTTGCTGAACTAATACCACTATTAGTGCGACTATGACTCTTCAGGTTATTCTCTCCACCACCCTAGTCAAATAAAAATGGATCAAAGATTTGAGGGCTACATTCAAAATTGACAAGAACAGACAAAAGTCAGTCATTAAAAGCCATGTTGATAAAACGGAATGGGCCAACTAAGTAGCACAAACTGATATACAGATAAAAACTGACAAGGAGGGGTGCCTGAGTGGCGCAGTCGGTTAAGCGTCTATTTTCGGCTCAGGTCATGGTCTCAGGGTCCCGGGATTGGGGCCCGCTTCGGGCTCCCTGCTTAGCGGGGAGCCTGCTTCTCCCTCTTCCTCTGCCGCTCCTCCAGCCTGTGTTCTCTCTCTCTGTGTCAAATGAATTGATAAAATCTAAAAACCTGACAAGGAATTAAAATTACTGTGGTGTTTTTGCGCAGACACCATCTACTGAAGGATATGAAGGGTCTGATGATTATGGGTGTCCATTCTGGAGTCTTCTTTACCGCTGTTTATTAAAGGGCCAGCCCAAGACCTTTTCTATCTTCACTAGACTTCACTAGCTAATGACTCTGGGCCCTTAAACAATTACCCTATGCCTCCTAAGCAAGACTTCAGGAGTACAGGCTTAAAAAAACAAAACACAAACAACAGTAACTTTCAAATGTAGTTACATCATAGAACACAAACAATAAGATATCATGGTTAGTATAAAGATTAACTCCTATATGTATATGGGCTAACAAAGGTATCTGTTAAAGGTTTCTCTCATTTTTTCCCCCATATAAACAAAATTCATTATATCCAGATCAGTTGATTATTATTAGCTACCTACTGGGATACAAATATAATTTCCTTAATAATAATTTGATCACCCATCCTACATCTACCCAGTTCATTCCAGTATACCCTATAAATTTCCCCACTCTCCTGCCTCTACTCCAGGTGTGGGGATCACATATCCTGAAGTCAGAAGCAAGGGTCAGTGGGAGTCTCTGGGAAGCTTTTTTTTTTTTTTAAAGATTTTATTTATTTATTTGACAGAGAGAGACACAGCGAGAGAGGGAACACAAGCAGGGGGAGCGGGAGAGGGAGAAGCAGGCTTCCCGCTGAGCAGGGAGCCCGATGTGGGGCTCGATCCCAGAACTCTGGGATCATGACTCGAGCCAAAGGCAGACGCTTAACGACTGAGCCACCCAGGCGCCCCACTGGGAAGCTTTTTTAATTTGGAAGTACTGGTGCTTTAGGGGACCTTCAAACTTTGGTCTAGAGGAGCTAAAAGAGCTGATGAGATGGAAAAGAATAAACTCAATACTTGTTTCTAGACAGCATTAAATCTACTAGGGATAGAAGGAATTATGGAATAGGAGGCTTTTCCTAGATTACTCAAGCCAGTTCACCAGCACAGCAAAAGAAGTTAAGAGCTTTAAGTAGAGACTGTCCAGAAATAAAGACTGCATCTAGCTGAAATTTCTCTCATGCAGAATCTCTCAAGGACCTGATGAATGGTTGAGGAAACACTGAAAGGTAAGAAACCTCAAAATATATATTTTAAAATATGATCCTTCTGAATCAGTGAGCTGAATTTACAAACAAATACCTTTAAAAATCACAAGGACAGACATTTTGGAATGCAATTTACATAAAATCAGATGTTGATATTCTGGCAGATTACATGTGGTATGCTTCTTACCATCTCCATTTGGCAACCAATGGCTTCTAAAAGTGCTGAATCTTGAACAATATTTAACATTGCCCCTGTAACAGCAAAAAAATGCATGTTATTTAAATACATGACAAGAATACTAAAATGGCTAAAATATCTCAATAGAGATAAGAATATGATTTTAGCTGACTATTCCTGAAATGTCCATAAAATTACTAATAAATCTATTGACTAGTATGAAAAAAACACTCTTTAGGAATGCCCTAATTCTGATCTTCCTTCAAAGTTTTAAAACCACATTTTCTAAAATAAACTTGAAGGTCAAACTTAACTATATAAAAACATGACCACTATCAGATATTTTTAAACTGATATTTAAGACCAGATGTAAGCATCTCAATTTCAAGGCTACTGCAAACTAAGAAAAATTATTACGGAATACTTTAAAAAAATAGATTCTGTTCTTTTAGAAATAAAAGAAAAATAACAAAATAAAAATCACAGCTGTATCTTTCTGATCAGACTGCCTTTTTTAAAGATTTGTTTATTTATTTATTTATTTGAGGGAGAGAAAGCAGAGGAGAGGGTGTGAGTTGGAGGAGGAGCAGAGGGAGAGGGAGAATCTCAAGCAGACTCCCTGCAGGGCACAGAGCCTGGGGCTCGAGATGTGGGGCTTGTTCCCATGACCTATGAAATCATGATCTGAGCTAAAATCACCCGTCAGATGCTCAACCAACTGAGGCACCCAGGTGCCCCTGATCAGACTGCTTTTTAAGAATGAATAAAGCCACATGGTTCAGGGTTACCCCTGTCTGCATATTCTGAAGGCAAGCTGCATATATTTACTATCAAGGAACTTACAGCCCTAGAAAGGCTAGAACAGAACTAAGATGGTGAGCCTAGCACACTGCTTCTCATCTCAGTATGGGAGTACTCTTGTCCACAATGGATAAAGAGAGGACAGACACAGCTTTGCCAATCTACGGCAAGAGTTGACAATTAACTCTTCCTTGAAATGTACACATGCAGCTCTTCAGAACAAGGGTAAAGCAAAACTAAATAACAACTCTGTAGAAAATTATCTGATTTCAAGTGATACATTATTTGAATAACCTAAAACACTACAACGTGGAGGCCCCCTCCTAGCAAGATTTAACCTCTGTTCTTTCAACTCTTTCAAAATGAAAGGATTTATTCTTCCCTATTTATTCCACCTTCTCACTGCATAACATACTATATACTTCCCGAACACTCCAACTATTCCTGCTACCACCAGTTCTTTGGCCCTGACACTTCCTCTCCTGAAATGAAATCTTAACCTCATTTCTGCCTATTCAAATTCTGCCCTACAAGATCAAATTTAACTTCCACTTCCCCCCATGAAGTCTTCCTTGCTCTTTTGGTTTCTTCTCTCAACAGTAAAGACACTTAAGACATGCAATCAGCTCTGCCCTCTGTAATTATTTCACACTTTGTGAGAATATTCCAATCTCTGCAATAAGACTTGCTCAAGGATGAAAGCCATGCCATTCAATTCTTTAGTACTGTCCTCAGAGCACCTGTACCTAGGGCTCCTGGCTTTCATGAAAAGCCAGAAGTAAAAAAAAAAAAAAAAAAAAAAAAAAGGCCAGAAGTACAGAAAGAGACACGTACAGTTGTAGTAATCAACAGAAAAATAATGGGGGCTTAAAATACGGCAGTGGGCATAATGATGAGAAGCCATTTAAAACAGAGAATCAGGGATACCTGGGTGGCTCAGTCAGTTAAGTGTCTGCCTTTGGCTCAGGTCATGATTCCAGAGTCCTGGGATCAAGTCCCGCATGGCGGCAGGGGGGTGGGGGGGGGTCCCTGCTCAGCAGGGAGTCTGCTTCTCCCTCTGCCTGCCGCTCCCCCTGCTTGTGCCCCCTCTCTCTCTGATGAATAAATAAAATCTTAAAAAAAATTTTTTTTAATAAAAATAAAACAGAGAGGGGTGCCTGGGTGGCTCAGTCGTTAAACATCTGCCTTCCGCTTAGGTCATGACCCCAGGGTTCTGGGATTGAGCCCCGCACCAGGCTCCCTGCCCCACGGGAAGCCTGCTTCTCTCTCTCCCACTCCCCCTGCTTGTGTTCCCTCTCTCGCTGTCTCTCTGTCAAATAAATAAATAAAATCTTTAAAAAAATTAAAAAAAAATAAAACAGAATCAGTACGATCAGGAGACCAACAGAGAACATTAAGGAAGAAGGAAGGAAGCACAGCAACAGCTACTTCTCAGTTTCCTCCTGGCAGGGTTCTGACATAGCTTCCAGATTTACACCCAACTCAAAATTTTTCCCCATGGACATAATGGGCAGGAGGCAGAGGAAAACGCAGATGTAAGGGAGGGAAGGAAAGAGGAGAGAGGGAAAAGGAAGAAGGGGTAAGGGAACAGGAGGAGAGAGGAAAGGCAAGAGGGAAAGGGAAAAATAACACAAATAAAACTAAGCAAAAATGACCCCCGAAGACAACTGTAACGCTTTCCCCTTCCCTCATCTCACCCCTTTAAACTTTTTCACATATAAAAGCAAACAAATTCTGAATCTGATTCAGAATAAGGAGAGCTGTATTAGGCTCAGGCTTCATCACTGACCCCTGCCTTCTAAGCATGCCTGGGGTCAACAGTGTGTGGGTTCACTTACAAAAAAATGTGTGAACACAAACCTAGTATCATTTGAGTGTTGTTGGGGTCCGTTTCTGTTTGCAAGGCACCTATTAGTATATTCACAAGTCTCAACTTCAGGGACAAAAAAGTTATTGGTTTATCATATGAAGAGCTGTCATCATTACTAAACTTTCCTTCCAGGACCACCTATGAAAGAACAAATAATATTCAACATCAACTGTTGTGGTGCACTATGCCCATGTGGCAACTCCTACAGTGGACAAAGAGACCAGGCTAACAAGCAAGGCTTTTCAATCTGACTAGTATTAGCTCCTGTGCTAAGTCTGGCACTAACTCACTCAACATGTGTTATTATTAGCTGTCACTAGCTATCGCCACCTGAAATAGTAGACCAAGGCATGCTGGCTGGCTGAAAGAAGAAATACTACAATAAATCAGCTTTGTCGGTTTGATTGAAATAATCTGAGAAAAGTTTTAAAAAGCTCATGTTCCATTTTTAAAATACAATGTGACATGACTTAAGCACACAAAACAGAATATAGAATATAAAAAACTTTAATAAAACATTACCTCAGATCTGACTGTGCCAAAATGATGTGGGAGGGGCAACAAAGAAAGGAGGATATTAATGGAAGATCTTCTCAATTCTGTTGGATTTACATAGCTTTTGAATTTTGAGAGTTCTCTGCCAAAAAAAAGGAAAGAAAGAAAGAAAGAAAAAAAGAAATAGCTGTTGGTATTTCCAAACCAAAGCTTGTTTTTAGCTATTGCCAAATATACATTATGTCAATTTTTCACAATATAAGCACTGGATTTGGTTTCGTAACAAATGCAGTAACTACTTTACACTGAGTTTATATTCTGTGGGGTGTGTATGTGTATGTGTGCATGTGTGTGAACTTCTATGTTAAACTGTTAGAGAATTAAACTAGAATCTGACTGATTGATTTCAAATGTATGATCTACTCTATAAAAGTAGGACCTCTGGGCTGGGGTTGTTCTTAGCCCTCTAAACCAGGCCAAAAAGGATTCAACATGCCCAGGACAAATGAGAACTAAATGAATTCAGGGATGAGGTATATCTGGATGTTCTATGCTCACGTAATGTGACCTGAGTCCCCTTGGGCTATAAAGACAACACTGCACAGGATAAATGAGGAAACTGGGGAGGAAGCACCAAAACAGACCAGGCCAAACCCAACAAGTGATATGCTAGTACAGAGTGAGAGCTTACCTGTCAGGCAAAATGGTTTCAAGAGCTGAAATAAAGTAAGGAACCACAACATCAATCCCTTTCAAGTCACAGCAGAACAAAGGAGGGGAGTTTAGAATAACGCTGGCCAAGACAGGATGGCACACATAATCATTTATCTGCAAACCTTGAATTAAAAGCATGTAAAATCTAGGAAAGCAAGAAAAAAATTTTAAATAAACTGCTGATCAACTGTTTTCATAATTATTAATATTTTCTACACAGTTATCTGAAAGTCTATTTCCACTCTTCACTACTTCTATCCTTTAAGAGGTATTACTAGAGTTAGAACAATTCAAAAGCAAATATACTAAAAACCAAATTATCTTTCCTAATGAAAAGAGAAAAAAGATTCATGTCTATTACACCTTCTTGAAGTGTTAAGCCTTGCAACTCAGTTATAGGTGCCTGCAAATGAAGTCACCAAAACAAGACAAATGACTGCAGTAATTAGCAATTAGTGAATCGAATTCCATGCCAGTAAAATTTTACAACCTTTCCCAATTCCTGAAGAAGAAAAAAAGCGTGTTGTGGCTTTTCTCTTTCCCCATCATTTCCGGGGCGACAATGAAAGAAACCTCATGCAACCCTGCATTTACCACGACATGGAGGTGAGTCTGAGTAAGACTCCTTTTAGGAATAATCCTGAGCCTACCTTCTTTTAGCCTCCTCTCCTAACCCCCAATCAACTAAGTATTCGATCTTCCATCATTCAAGAGCAACTATATCAGTAAACTCTTCTACCACCATGAGGCACTTTTCTCCACAAACCTATTCGGAAACAACTTCCTCACCTCCCGGTCACTACTCAGCACACTGCAATCTAGCTTCTCCTCCTAGAAATCAGTTGAAACCATGTCAGCAAATAACCAACAGCCACTCAATTGCTAAATCCAGAAGACATGTCTAAGTCTTAACTTCCTCTGCCTTTTTTAAAGCATTCAACCCTTTAATTACTCCCTTCTTCTCTTCTTTTCCTTCTGTGACCTCTGTAGCTGTTTTCTGTAATAGACCCTCTTACTCCGCCTGCCTCCTATACTGGTATCCATCAGGCTGTCAAGCTCCACTCTCTAATAAGCTCTCTCTGGCACTAACCTGGTTTTAAGCTCCTGAATATAATTAAATCAATCTCTAGCCCATGCCTCTCAAGTGAGCCCCAGATCTGTTAACCAAAAGTGTGTTGGATACCTGAAAGCAGGTCATGTCTAATTATTGATTACTGATAATTTGTACTGATTATGCCAGTACTTCCTATGCACAGTGTCTAGCACACAGTAGGAACTCAAATATTTGTTGATTAATATCCTACAGGCATCTCAAACTCAATAGTTTCATAACTAATTCAACACTTGCCTTCTAACAAATCTGCTCTTTCAGTTGGTCATACTCCCACCCATCCAGTCTTAGGGGCCAGACAGAAAGCTCATGGTCACAGCCTTCTCCCTTATTGCTATTTACTCTTGGGGTATCTCCCCAACCCACAGTCTCCTTCCTGAGACTATGCCCCCACCACAAGGGATGAGCTCCAGCACTTCGTGTGACCCACCCTCACAGTTGGCACTGGCTAGACCAGAGGAAGACACCTGATTAATCAGATCCTCTTTCCCAGGAATCTGAAATTAGGCTTCAGAAATGCTAACTGGCCCCGCTGGTCATCTAGACCAAAGCCATGGAATTTGGGAACTCAGAAGCATACAGAATATAAGAAAATAATCTGCAGAGAAGAGAAGAATGAAGCATGGGAGACCATGAAGATAGAGAAACAGAAAGGAAGTTGTTTTGTTCCTTGAACACTTTCTAGTTTCTCATCCCTGCCCTTTGTGAGGCCCTGGTGCATGTCCTAACCTTAGAATGTATTAAATAGCAGTTTCTCATAACTCATTACCATTTTGCTTAAATCACATTGACGGGTTTCCTGTTACTTAAAGCCAAGAACCTATTAAGATACCCCTGATTAGCTGCCTGAATGTACCATTCTGTTTCAGGCCTATAGAATTCTGCACTCAGTTCCCTCTGATTCAGCTTAATCTTCATTCCTGAGAACCCAGCAGGTACAGACACCTGAATGTTCTTGTTGATCACTTTAGCAGCTATGTGAATGATCAGTTCAGGAAAGCAAAACAGAGTCAAGAAAAATAGGAGGCCACTACAAGTTAATTTAGGAAAAAACTGACAAGGTCTAAAGTGTCATGGTGAGGACAGAGTGGAGAGATTAGAAAGAGGGTTAAGTAACAGAAAGGCAGGAGTTGTTCACCATCCAAAGATAAAGAGGGAGAAGAGTCTAAAATGACTCCTAGTTTCTGGCCTGAGCAACTGAATGGCTGCCAGAGCCATTCACCAAGATGGTTGAAGTCACCGATTTGGATAAGAGGACCCTACCCAACCTGCTAACATAGGCTGAACACTATCCATCCTTTTTAAGTCCAGCACAATCATCCCATCCTCTGGAGCTCTTTCCTGAACCCCTGGGGTAAGCGTATACTGCTGCTTCTCCTGAATGCCCACAGCACTTGATCTCTGCCTCTCTTCTACCAACTTCCTATTACTATTTGGATCATTGTTACTTAAGTACACGGCTTTGCTCACTTGAGAAAATAAGCTCCTCAGAGACCAGATTTACAGCTAACATTTCTGGACCATTTATAGTGCCTAATACTGTGCTAAAAATTTAAGTAATGTGATCCTTCCAAATCTCTCCATCATTAATAAAAGTAAAATATAATGAAATAAATAATACTTCTAAAATAAAAAGCATCTTAAGGATCTTTACCAAATTTGATGAGGCAGGTAAAATGCAAGAATTTCAAGCAAAAATTCCAATTACTTACAGCATTTGCAAGTATTTCAGACCAAAATTTACTTATCACTTCAGCCTACCAAGCCATACTATAAGAGTTTCACTATCAAAACTATATAAATGGAAAAATAAACGAAAAAATTCTAAGACCTGGATAAATAAGCTGGCAGAATCTCTTCTCCAGTCTTCTTGCTACAAAAAATCCTACACAGTGTCCCACAAGCCTCAGCTCTTCCTGCTTCATAGTTATCAGGAAATTCACTTGCATCAAACATAGGATTGGAAACCATGGTGTCTGTGGACATTTGTGACCCTTTCCGTCGAAACTCCATGCTAGCTTGTGTTGTAATGGCTGAGGAGAGAAAAGGAGCATTTTATTATATTTGTCAATATGCAAATAGGCTCATGGGACCCTGGACACAAAGATCAAATGTTGGTGTCATTAAATTGTTACTTAAATAGAATAATGCTTTTGTTTGGCAACTACGTCTTAATTTTTTTAAAAGGGGCTCTCTGAAATCTTCTTTGAAAATGGCAACAATTAATTTACACTGGTGTTATCAGTTTAATAGATTCTACTAGAAGCATTTTTCAACTGAATTTCTGATCAGCAGAGTACATGTGTATATATCTGTATGTCAATACAGATATATAATAAAAGAATTTGGCTTTTCTATTATTTATTCTGCTTTTTCCTCCCCCTGTAGAATGATGCTTAAACATTAAGAAAAATAGCTACTTCAATTTACACATTACCCCAGACAGACATCATAAGTGAATGGGCAAGCCCATGCCAGTTTGTATACTTTAGGGAGAGGGCAAAGTAAGGATGAGAAATGGGGAGGGAGGAAGAGAGAGCATTCCCACCACCCACCCAAATCCAAAACACACACCAAAGAATCGCCCAACCAAGCAAAATGAGAATGAATTTTAACAACCACAGACAGCAGCTAACTTGAGGTTGATAAATCAGAAAATTGGATTGGTAAGAAAGATTATCATGGTCATTCGTTGTCACTGAAACAGAAGCCCTTTGAAAGTTGCTTTTGTTGCTTTTATTTTTAACAAAAGATTTCACAGTGTATTGAATAATCACTCTGAAATCTTTTATCACTCTACATGAAATGTTTAAATTATTTTGTAATAGTTTTAATAGAATGCAGAGTCAAGCATAAATCTTTATGCAACTTCCCATGAGCCATTTTTAGTCCTGAATAAGCTATCCAGCAATAATACATTTGAAAAACACTACATGCAGAATGCATACAAATCAAACACTAAATCTGTATAAAAATAAGCTTAAAGCTTTAAAAACAAAAATAAAAAAGCCAAAACACAGTTAGTGCAAAGTCCTGGAATTCATGACATGACCAGACTAGTGTACAGAAATAATGGGACTGATTCAGGCAGATTAATTTGCTTTTGCCAACAATCTTCCCCATTCAAAACACAGAAAAGTATTTTTCTTCCCAAGTGCAAAAACTACAAGAGACAATGACAATCAAATTTTTTAATGGAATTATGAAAAAAATAAAAACATGACTGCAATTAAGGAGAAGCTTCTGGTTCCTACTTACAAGATTTATAAGAAAGAAGAATTTGGATAAAAGATGCTGCAAGATAATAGAAATAAATGGAAACAAATCAAAGGACAGCAGTAATTATAAAATACTTTAAAGATGGTGAAATTTTACAATAAGTTAAGAAGCTTTTTAGCTTTTTAAAAGTTAGATTAAAAGCTTTATGATACCACAAGCTAGTTCAAAAACAGGAAATTGTGCATTCAGATCCAAAATTATGATTTTTGTATCATGCAAAACAATGAACAAAGAAAATTACACAACTACAAAGAATTGAGGTTTTGAACTGCCAATAACGTGCATTAAAATTTTAGTTCATTAACCCTTCCCAGCTCAATGTTACTTTCACAAACTACAGTGTAATGTCACATCAGTCTAGAGCTAACCAGTTCATAGAAGCAAACATTTTAAGTTAGAGGTGAACTGCAAGGCAGAATTCCTTGATGGCAGCCAGTACTTAGAAAACAGACTAACAGTGTTAGTATTTCCGAACCTTCCACCCCCGCCCCTCCAACCCCACCCCCACGACTTCAAGAGCAGCACCCAATAGCACTCAAACTCAGTGAAATACCAAGACACCTCCTATCTCCTGGGTAATGTAACAGCCTTTCTCATCTCCAAACACAATAGGGGAAAGAGGAGCTTCTATCTTTTCCGTACCAAGGAAGGCGTTAAGAGTTAAAAGTAAAAATTAGTTGCCCACATATTATCTGAATTATCCATCTTTTGGCAGAAGAGGGTGAGCAAAGCTGTTACAAACTCCCTAGAGAGTGAGAAGATCTAGCAAGCCCACCAAGGAGGCAGGAGATTGAGCCATTCTGGATTCAGGGATTTTAGTGTCAATAGCATGATACCCAAAAGTTACAATTATAAGAATTGCACCTTAATAAAAATAAAAATTAAAAATATGACTGATTCATTCTAGAAAATACAATACAAATTAATAAATACAAACATGGTTCAGAAAACTCAAGATATAAGGCACATGAACATAAGAAAATATAAGCCAAAAATGGTTTTCTAAAAGTTTTCATTTAGTCATAAGTACATTTATTTTCCATACATAAGCACTACTTTCAAACTTATAAATAAAACATAATATGGAAATGGTAGAATATAAAGTGTCTGAATTTGAAGAAAATAAACAAAGGAATCTGTAAACTCAAACATGCAATCTCAAATTATACTCTGAAAAATATCTTCATATTCACACCTTTTTAAATTATTTAAAAGATTTGTAAGGACATCCAAAATGATTATACATGTATAATGCTCATATAGACCTTAGTTCTGAGATGATTCATAATAGCTAAGAATGTATTTCTGAGAGAAAGCAGAGACCTTTATGGTCATATTAGTTTTAATCCTTGGAACTAATATTCTCCCTAGAGATGCATAAACTAAAGCAATTAGGCATCCTTTTCTCTCAACCTACATCAAACCCCAGTCAGAAAAGTGCTTTCTTACCAAACAACCAGTACGCTCATTAGTGCATATAACGTGGTGTCTGGGCACAAAGTCATTGCAGCTCAATAAATGCTATCCATGATTACTGTTCTCTATAAGACATGTCATAAATATCCAGTACATTCTGCACTACCCCACATTCCCATCCTGCACGCTATGCCACTACTTCCAAGTACAATCAGATTTCATTTAAATAGTGTCATTTCTGTAATAAAATCTAAATGAAGGTATCAGGGTTGAGTTATTAATTCGCCACCAGTCTTATTTAGTTCCAGAGCAAATAGTATTTTTTAAAGTGTGCCCTGAAATAAAGTTCTCTAGACTAAAACCTGAGAAGAGTTTTTGATGAAGCAGAAATTTTCTAATATTTTATGTACTAATAAGTGAATGGCTGTCAGCATCTAAGAAAACACTTCTTGTGAATAAATTTCTGGTCAAAATCTTTAATTCTTACTATCAATATTATTATCCTGGCTGACATGAAGGGAACTTCCGGCCACCTACTGAAAGGAATTTGATTCAACAAAAAGTGGCTAACCTCAAGTGTGTCTAATAAAACCAGACAAAAGCCAAACCTCATAGAACAGACCTAAAAAGGACAGGTAGGAAAACTTCCAAATTCTGTTACTGCAGCTGGAAGGGGTTAAACACAAGACACTGCTTGGTCAGAGACAGAGAGCTTTTTAAGATACATATTAATCTTGCAGGTAGGAAAGATTAAAAAGAAAAAAAAAGAAAAGAAAAAAGTGATAACATATTTCTTGAGCAATATTTACCAGTCATGCTGCTGTCTCTGTTTATCCCATTATGAAGTTTACAGTGAACAAATGCTGCATCAAATAACCATGATCCAAAGAGATTCAAGATGCTGTTAACCTTTGGTCTCCGAGGGGCAGGCAGTGGCCGGGGTTCAGAACTAGTCTGATTGGGACTTGACAGAGGAGAGGTGGAGGATGTCTGGTGCTGAACTTTCGAGGCATGAGCAGTACTAACCTGTTAGAGGAGTACAACAATATATCCACACTCAAGAAAAGTCTGAGAAAACCGCAGGACTTTTCTAAAATGCTGGCAGATTAAAAAGTCAACTTTATAGAGCATAATAATGGAGACGAAAACTCTTACTGTGCTTGTCTTCATGGTGGCCTTATTCACGGTAACAGCCCGGTGCCTCCGGTTATGTGGTGGGGTGGTATTGACAGCAGTGCTTTGAGGCATACTTAATCTATTCACGGGTGTTGGAGGAGCACTGTCTGATCGGGGTCTAGATATGCCTTTAAGAAAAAAACAAATGGAGTTATTCTTCATAGTTTCAAACATGTGGTTAGAAAATCTGCCTCAAATAACACCAGTGAAGGCTCAGGACAGACCATAGCAGACATTGCTAGCTGCCTCCCAGTATCTATTCGTTCTTTCTTCCTGAGTTATAGAACACAAATTTTAGCTAGACATGGCTACCCCAAATACACAACTACATTTTCTAGCCTCCCTTACAGCTATGTATGTGGCCATGTTCTGACCATAGAGAAGTGGGTGATTGTTGGGCGGGTACACCAAGAAATCTTAAAAAGACCAATCAAGTACAGACTCTCCTCCCTTCCTAATTCCTGAACAGGATGGTTGGAACTCATTTAACCATCACGGCCCATGAAAGAGTACACAAAGAGCCACAAGATAGAAGGGCCTTGGGTCCCTTACAATAATGGAGTAGCTATAGCAGCCCTATACTGCCTAGCCCTGGCCTTACCATATGTGAAAATAAACTACCTTGTTCAAACCACTGGTATTTTTGGTTGTTATGTGGCCAAACTTAATCTGAATAATATATTACCTATGTAATGTATTAACAAGTGCACATAAATGTTTTAGAAAAAATAGATATTAAATATCATTGCCTTTCGATAGGTTAAAAATACTGACTTTTCATATTCCTAAAATGTGAAAAATGGGTTTATTTAAAGATTTCATTTATTTGAGAGAGAGAGAGAGAGCGAGCGCACAAGCAAGGGGAGCAGCAGGCAGAGGGAGAGGGAGAAGTAGGCCCCCAACCGAGCAGGGAGCCCGATACGGGGCTCGATCCTAGGACCCTGGGATCATGACCTGAGCCAAAGGCAGACACTTACCTGACTGAGCCACTCAGTCACCCCAAAATGGTTTAAAACAGTGGTTCACAAAAGGTCTAATCTGCTTCCCAGTGACACACAAAAAAATGATAACTAATGTATTTTAATCTGTATTTTCTTGGATTACTAGCGAGAATGAACTTATCCCTTCTGCAAATCATTTATTCATATCCTTTGTCCATTTATCTACCAAGTCTTATTCTTTTTCTTAACATATTTTGATCTATTTATATAAAGACAACGAAAGCCTTCAACTATTATATTTGTTGCAAATAATTCTTCCTTCTTTGTCATTTGTAATCAAATCTGTTCATCTTTTTCTTTGGGCTTTCCATAATAGTTTCTAAATCTATACTCTGGAGTTATCTACATGTAGGTCTCCAAACATTTAGCAACATACACAAAATTCACCTAAGAATGCATCCACCAGACAGCTGATTCCACGCATGGCACGAAAAAATATTTGAGGCAGATGTTTAAGGCAGGGATACTGATTCAATTCTTGTGGCATTCCGCTCACATTTAAGAACTGTTCCTGAAATTTGGGAGTTGAGCTTATAATGGCCGGGTTACTCAAATCCACGGGATTACTATCAAAACAGAGAAAAAGAATTAATTACACAGAAAGACTTTCTAATTTTAAAGGAAAATAGAAAATGATCATAGAAAAAGACATTTTAAAAAAACTGAAATCACTGAAAGATGAAAGACACAAACTGGGAAAAAAGAGAACAGTTAACATCCCTAATTTATAAAAAGGGTAATTTAGAATCACTAATACACAAACAGAAAAATGAGGCCAGTCAAACCAGAATGAGAAGATATGGAGAGAAAATGGTTTAAGAATTAGGGCAGTATGCAACAGACAAAAGTTCCACAGGACACAAAGATGTAGCTAGTAGAAAAGTAAGAAGCAATAAAACTGAACTGAACAGAATTACTATAAAGAGAGAGCAGGTCCTGGGAGAGATAATATCCAGGCTGCATCAGTAGGCATGAGAACAAATGTTACATGTACCACAGGGGACAAGCTTCTAGAGACTGTAGACTGAGCGCAGCTGAGGGCAGCCTGACTCTGCTGGGACAGGGAGAGCAGCAGGCAATGATGTAGATGGACCTATTGTCCAATGTGGCTCCATCTGAGGGCTGTACTTAGCCGTCACACACTGAGCACCAACACAAAAGTTACAGCATGGTTCCTGCCCTAAGACACCGGGGAAAGAGCACACACGATAGTAAATAATAGTACCTTAACATATGTAAGAAGCGAAACCATGTCTGTGCTACACACTCGTTATCCATTTCAGGAGGGATCAGACTGGCATCCTCATCAGGAACTTTAAATGGAGGAAATGAAGGACCATACGTAAAGCGTAGCAATCTGAAATACAAAAAAAATGCATAACACCAAGTTCCTTTCTTAGCAGAATGAAAAATATATTAAAGTATTAAAATATGTATTATTAAAATACTAAGTATTAAAATATGATAACAGAAATACAAGAGAAAATAGATAATGTGTATTATACCTCACGGAAGTGAATAAGATAAATGAAAACGCTTGTTGATAAGAAACAAACTATAAGAGGATTTCCAGTTTTGTAAGATTAAAAAAAATGTTTAAACATTTGAATAATGTATTTATTTTAAAAATTATTTGTTATTTAGTTACATACCTATTTATATTTTGTTATATAATTTATATCATAAGTGTATCTATAATTTATAAAACTATATATATGTTATACATTAGATATATATCACATTATGATCTTACTTTATATAATAGCTTTTTAATATATAACATGTAATATATAAAATTATATGTGATATAATTTCATAATTTCATTATAAAATTACAAACCATATATTATCAAATTACAAATTATGAATTATTTTTAAATTTTTATTTATGAATAATTGCAAATAACATGAGTAAACTGTATAATCATATAATATGAAACTGCTGTTTACATAGTTATATAATTATAAACAAATTATTTAAATTATTTTTAAGATTCATCCCACTGCAAACTCCTTCAACACAACTAAGCTGTAATTTATCCATAACTGCTCTATAACTTGCATGAACTTCAGAATTTATAGTGTACCTTAAAAGTAATTCAATTCAACAATTCAATTACTTAATTTAATAGTACTATTCCAAATGTATTTAAACTGTTCAAAGCCCTTCGACTCAATCATCTTATACCTAGAAATTACATCTTACTGAAATAACCAGAATACACACAGATTTTGTATAAAGTATTCATATCAACAATATTTTTGAAGAACATAAATGTCTAAACAATTATTAAATAAATTATAATTTCATTTATATAATGAAAAACTACAAAGGCATTAAAAATATGATCTCGAGATTTAAGAATGGAAAAGGCACTTGTAATTAATGGGACAAGAATCAAATTAAAAAAACAGATAACAATACTATATAGAATAATCTCAATTTTTTTTTAATAAAGAGAAATGGAAAAAATACATTAAAATGTTAACACTGGTTATCTGTAGGTGATGGATATTTTTCCCTATATCTTCCAAATTTTCTATTTTAAGCATGTATTGCTTTTATAATCAAGATAAAAAGAAGTATTATTTATTTTTTTGGAGCAGAAATTAGTTGATTTAACATGATACAGGTATTATTTAGATGACTATTTTTTTTGGTTGCTAAAAATTTTTGGTTTTTTTTCCTTTAATTTTTGATTTAAACTCAATTAAGTATTATTTCAAAATAGATTTATAATTTTGACATTCACTACAATATAACAGAATAAAAAGAATATTCCAAAACTTCCATTTTTTTACCTTAAATAGTGATAAAGATATAAATATAAACATTTCATTAACTCAGAAAAAGACCAGTCTACCTTCTGATACATAATGCTACCTATAAGTTATTTGTTCCTGCCTTCACACTGCTCTCCCCTCATCAAATCTAAATCAGATCAAGTCTCTAGATCTAAATGCCAGCTGACAGGAAACACAGAGGACAGAGAAACATTAACACCACTAGCACATAATTAGAAAAATTCAGAATGTGGAAGCACTCTAAGACAAACAACCCAGTTTCTTCAAAAACAAAAACCCCAAAGAAATAAAAATAAGAAAGTAGGAACCTACAGTTTAAGATAGGCTTAAGAACCTTGCTTGTTTTGATTCAATGGAATCAACCATAAAAAGAAAAAAACAGGAGGCATGCAAGGGAAATTTAAACATTGAATGGTTAACTGATATTAAAGAACTGTTAAAATTTTTTAGGTATGATAATGGTACCATGATTATGTTTTAAAAAGAATCCTCATCTTTTAGAGTTACATATTAAAATATGTAGAGTTGGGGGCGCCTGGGTGGCTCAGTCAGTTAAAAGCATCTGCCTTCAGCTCAAGTCATGATTCTGGGGTCCTGGGATCGAGCCCTGCATCAGGCTCCCTGGTCAGCGGGGAGTCTGCTTCTCCCTCTGCCCCTCACCTTGCTCTTGTGCTCTCTCTCTACTCTCTCTCAAATAAATAAATAAAATCTGTAAGGAAAAAAATATGTAGAATTGAAATAAAAAAACAAGTCTGAAAAAAAATAAAGCCTAAAGTTTACTCACATTACATATAAATGGTAAAAAAGGTAAAATTATTGTAACAAACTACCTACTTGGGTTATAATATAGCACATTATAGGATGGTCTCATTTCTGTAAAATTATGTATAAATATATATAATAGGATTTCTAGTGAACTTAACTTTTTTCATACCTTTCCATGGTTTTTTCATTTTTTTTATTTTTATTTTTTAAAAGATTTTATTTATTTGACAGAGAGAGACACAGTGAGAGAGGGAACACAAGCAGGGGGAGTGGGAGAGGGAGAAGCAGGCCCCCCCACAGAGCAGGGAGCCCAAAGTGGGGCTCGATCCCAGAACCCTAGGATCATGACCTGAGCCCAAGGCAGACACCTAACGACTGAGCCACCCAGGTGCCCGTCTATGGTTTTTTTAAAATAATCATCATGGTATTTTAGTAATCAGATTAAGAATGGGATTTTGGCAAGGGAGGCTGGGTACAGAATTCTTCTCCATACTGCTTCTCCATACTTGCTTAATCTGAAAGGTTTTAAATTTGCCAGGCACTAGCCAAACTGCTATATCCATTTTTAAGAAGTGGCTTGATTCTGTACCTAAAATACAAGTAATAACAGACACAGGATACAGGCTTTTCACAACATATTCCATGAATTCCAGGAACACATGGAACTAGGAGAAGCTGCCTTAGACCAGGTAGACGAAGGAAGGCAAGTCAATGATAGTGACCTACCTTGAAGTGAGCGCACAGGTGACCTTGCTCCACTGCTCCACCACTGCCGGGTGGTGCCTCCAGTTTGCCACCATCTCCTTGGCTGTTTTCCAGTAAGGTGGTGTTGGGAAGCACCGAGTACAAGCTAGTAACCAAACCTCAAAGAGAACACCAATCAACTTCTCCGCTAGATTCTCAGCAATGCCACCTTACCAACAAAAAGAAAACATCTTTGGCATACTTATTTTTAAAGAAAAAACTTTAATTCATTGATTCAGGATAAGTGGTCAAAAAATCAAAATAACTGCAATGTTAAGTTCTGACTTTCAAATAGCCACTTAATAAGTAAGAATGAGAAACTATTCTTAGGAGCTCCTATGAAGAAAATCATGACTACATCAACCAATTATCATTTATAAAGTTTTCAAGTCGCCCTGCTTGGTTCTTATCAAAGATCTTTATGTTCCAGCAAGTGGGACAGACACAGAGGAGAAGGGGAAGGACGAATGTCTAGGATGTGTGACTACTGGGTCAGTTTCTATGCTGACTGGTTTATGCACATGACCTCACATATTCCTCACATTAATTCTGCAAGATAGATATTTATATCTTTTACCAATTATCAATTAAACACATTTTGAAGAAGAGAAAACTTAGATGAGAAAATTTAAGTAACCTCTGAGTTTCAAAGTCAGTAAGTGAAGGAATCAGAGCAAATAAATACCCAGGTCTTTCTACCTTCAACCTTTGTTGTAAAACTTTCAGGTGTTTGAAAGCTACCCTTCGGGGAGAGGGAGACAAAGAAGGGAGCAAAAGGACCAGTGCTGTGCAGGACAGAGCCTCAACCATGAAAAACAGACCTGTTCCTCTGCTCTGAGCCCCGGAACTAGGGAGAAAAGCAGTAGTCTGTGCTCTGCATAGCTCCACAAGGCAAACTTGGGATTAGTAGGAAAAGTTATAAGGATGCATATTTCAAATAAGCAAAAATGAAGTTTCAACAATAATGAGCCCCAGAAGGGGAGAAATTGCCTGCACTGAGTTGCTGAGATCCCTGGCATGGAGACTGTGTACCAAAGAGCTAATGAGTCAATGACTGGCTAGCTATCATCATAACAGACAAGGTATTCCTACTATGGACTCACTGTCAACAGTGGAATTCTGTGATTTCCTTTAGATACTTTCCTGGACACTGCATTTGTGCGAGATCACAAGTACACCTGCATGTCTATAGTAAGAGACTACACAGATGAATAGGCAACAAGGGAACCTAGAACTAGAATATCAACTTACAATTCGTGTACACTGTGCTGTAATATACACAGCAGGGCCTCTACAATACAATCTGAAGGCATAAAACTGGAGGCTTCTTAATGACAAGGTAATGAGTGGCATACTGTCATATCTCCAAATAGAACCCTTAAGATTTTGTATGTTTCATTTGCTGAACAAAATATCTTCTGTAGCTGTCAAGTTTTCAGTGTCTACTTTGATAACTACTTTGTAATCAGGTACAGTACTTACAGGTTCTACTTCAGTTAGTTGTTTCTTATATAGGCTTTATCTTAATAGACTAAACAAAACCTACTGTTCCCATCATTATCAAATATGTATTAATGCACTGAGTCTCTCCCTACATTAGCAAAATCATCACTGAAAGTAAAATAACTTCATGTTGTACCTATCAGGACTTCCATTCTAAGACCTGTTAACCTTGGTTTGTCAAATGTCATGCCAAATTGTAAATCCCTAATGAGTCTACTACTCATTGAGTTTAAAGTGAATTGTATCCAGAGCTCAGAAATAAATTAGAAAAAACATAAACAGACCTTGAACAGTTGGTGGGGCTAGAAGTATGTCATTAATCTGCAGAAGAAACAACAGTAAGACTTCCCACGTTTCTCGTGCCATGATGGATGACTCACGGGCCAGTTTCTGAATGGCTCTCAGGACCTGTAAGCATAGTCGGATCTGACTGGAGCCCTGTTCCTGTCTGAAGAAGACAGACATATCACTGACAAGCCTTGAGGAGAGAAAGCAAAGGCTTGAGGACAGGCGACTTACGGACACAGCAAGCAATGGTCCAATGACACTCCCTACGAGCATCAGAGGACAGGACAAGGTGCAGCCTCTTCAGTTCAAAGATATTTCGCCACCATACAGTTTGGCATTCTGGGATCTCAACCTACCATTCCTATGAGAGCTTGAAAAGCTCCTGGGGACGGGGGGAACAGTAGAATGTAAGCTTCACCTCTGGATTTTCTAAGTCTAAAATGTGCCTGACACATAACAGGCACACCATTTTCTGCTGAGTGAATGAGTAAATACCCACAGCCCCTTCTGTTGCTCACAATGAAGCAGAATGGCCTTTGTATTCTTTTTAAAAATTTTTAAACACACATTCACGAGAATTTAGAATGTGAATTCATAGTGATCACAGTCTCTTTGAAGCTAATGTCTGCTAGAGAAGAGCCTATGGACCCAGTGGAATATCCTCACAGGTCCCTGAAACTGATGAGGTATGGAGGCAACTGCCTCAGAAACGAGCACCCTGCTACTGCTGTTCTAATAAAAAAGGCAACTTAACCTAAGATGGGGGTTCCAATGGTTCCCAAGATACCCTAGGAAAAGGTTTTATAACTCTCTTTAGTCGACAGGACCATTTTTTTCTCAAGAGAATAAAATAGATCAAAGTATTGGAGCTAGAGTTGAAGAAAGAGGTCCAAGCCCCAGCCCCTTATCCCTACTTTCCAAAGTGGACCACCTGAGAATTTTGAGAATAGTAGGAAACTCACTGCATAAATGAGTGGTGAGTTGGCCTCCAGACCTCCTATGTGAAACCTAAGACAAGTAACTAATATTACTGAAATAAATCTCAAGGGCAAGTTTCTATATTATGACTTATGTCACAAAGAACTGATAAAACAGAGCTTCCTCAAAAAATCCAGAAAATGAAGTGAGTGGCCTTACCACTCCCGCCCCAACCTGACTATAGAAGATTCTCAGATTCTGGGCCATGGCCCAGAAAACCAGACACTTATCCTACAGTTGCAAACAAATGACACCAATAAGTTTTTCCTAAAGAAGTCCTACAGAGAGTAAGATGAGACATTCACCTAGGAAAGACAAAGACCCCCAAAGAGCTGGGAGATGTCCCACGTTCAGCTGGCGGTGAATCCAGTTCATGTGAAGCGATGAGTCTCAAGTTTGTGTCTGTTGCTCTGGCTACTTGAAGAACAGTAAAAACTATGTAATAGCCCCAAATCTCATCTAGCCATACAAGAAGTCCAGAATAAGAAATAAGAATAGCTCTGGGGTTGACACTCTTCCAAGCTAGCGATAAGACTCCATGCTAGTAACCTAGGCCTACCCACTATTTCCAGGTACCTGTCTGCTAGTACAAAAGGAAACATCTGCTCTGTAGGTAACTGTAGCCTCACTAAGAAGACCTAAATTCAGGAGCAGTGTCGAAGTTTCTAAAGCTAAGAGAAACAAGATCATCTTTACTAAAAAATAAACAGAAAGGTCTACACACCAGAGATTTTCCTTTCCCAATGTTTTCAAAAAGAACTTGTGATCTTCAGAAAAACTGTTCTTAGAACAAGGGCTGGTGAACTACAGCCCATGGGTCAAATCTGGACTGCCACCTGTTTTTGTTGAAGTTTTATTGGAACACTGCCATGCTCATTCATTTATACATTATCTATGGCTGCTTTCTCTATATCAGCAGAGTTGAGTAGTTAGAACAGACACTATATAGCCCACAAATTTACTATCTGGGTCTTTATCAAAAAAGTTTGCCAACCACTGCTTTAGAAGAATATTACATTTTTTAAACTACATTATATTTGAGCAATGAAAACCCTAATCGAATTTAAAAGATGATTCACTCTTCACTCAGTCATGCAAACAAAAAAGAGATCAAACTGATAGGCAAAAAGAGAAAGATTACCCCCAACTTATCTCTAGCAAAGTGGTAAAAAGTTTCTTCTGAGTGTCACTTTTTATAAAAACAACTAAGTAAACTTGATGACAATTTTGTGATCTGAATTAAAAAAAAAACAACCCTGATACTTCCAATAAAGGGAGAGGGAATCATACCTCCCAATACTTAGCGCTGAAAATATTCAGCTCCCTAAGACACTGTTGGCCAGGAGAACTCTAGTACTCAGTTCAATATCCTCTCCAAAGAATGCACACACACTCTTGAGAAAACAAGCTAATGAACAAGGGACTCATGTTCTCAAAAGGGAAAAAAAGCAAAAGCCCAATTAACTCAAATGCCATTGATATTTTTCATCAATACAAACGAATTGAGCACGGAGAGGTGGTAAGAGTACAAAAAGGAAAGAAACACAGTGACAATACTACTCATCAGACTGTCCCATGCCCAAGGAAAAAGGCCAGTAAATTAGTCTCCTACATGGAGTGACAAAAGCATTAAAACTATTACACCATTTTAGAAGAGCCTGCTTAGACACAAATAATATCCTAATCATGGCCAACTACTTCCTATTACTACTTCTATTTGAAATCAATAAATAATAAGCAACTAATATTTAATTCACACCAAAAGTAATGTAAGGACTGCACCAGGTACTATGGAAGCCCAAAATATATACAACCTAATTCTTGCCTTCCAGATGGTTAGCTGGGGAAATGAGACACACACATTTTAAAAGATAAATAATAAAACAGTGAAGACATAAAAGAGTGACACAGGAAGTAACACACTGGTTCATAAAAGGTATGATCACTGTGGGTCTGGATGGTCAAGTAAGGCTTCTTTTTATAAGGCAGGATTTAAGATGAACCAACAAGAGTGAGATGTGGACAACTAGGAGAGGAAGAAGAGGCAGAAAAAGACAAAAGGGCAGGTGAAGATGTGGAAGATCATTAAGGAGTCTTAAGGGAATGTATAATTTATGAGTCTGACCAATGAGCAGGGCTCATGCAGAATTAGCAGCAGATAATCTGGCTACATTATAGCCAACATTTCACACAAGGCAAGGAGTTTATACTTGATCCTACACATCACAGTTCACAATGAGATTTTTTTTTGTTTTTACAGATTTTATTTATTTATTTGATGTAGAGAGCCACAGCGAGAGAGGGAACACAAGCAGGGGGAGTGGGAGAGGGAGAAGCAGGCTTCCTGCTGAGCAGAGAGCCCAATGTGGGGCCCGATCCCAGGACCCTGGGATCATGACCCAAGCTGAAGGCAGATGCCCAACGACTGAGCCACCCAGGTGCCCCTCAATGAGATTTTTTTTTTAATTCAAATTTTACAAAGTAATCTTCTAAAACTCTTTAAAAAAATTTTTTTTGGGGGGGGGGACACCTAGGTGGCTCAGTCAGTTAAGCATCTGCCTTCGGCTCAGGTCATGATCCTGGGATCCTGGAATCCAGCCCTGAGCTGGGGTCCCCGCTCAGTGGGGAGTCTGCTTGTCCCTCTCCCTCTGCCCCTCCCCTCTGCTCATGCTCTCTCTCACTCACTAATAAATAAATAAAATTTTAAAAAATAATAACAATTTTTTAAAGTAAACTCTATGCCACATGTGGGGCTCGAACTCACGACCCTGACATCAAGAGTCGCACGCTCTACCGACTGAGCCAGCCAGGTGCCCCCAAAGTAAACTTCCTTCTAAATTTAAAAAGTTAAAATTTATAGAGTGGTTTTTGGATGATTCAAAGTCCCTCACCAGCTGATAAAGAAAAAGCTGTAACAAGAACTTTTCCAAAAGGAAGCAAGCCTCTTTGCCTCTTTCAAAGATATTAAGAAATCGCTAAAGACAGGTTTTTCTTAAAGGAAATCCTCATGGGGCACCTGGGTGGCTCAGACGGTTAAGCGTCTGCCTTCGGCTCAGGTCACGATTCCAGGGTCCTGGGATCGAGTCCCGCATTGGGCTCCCTGCTTCTCCCTCTGCCTCTCTCTCTCTCTTTCTGTCTCTCATGAATAAATAAATAAAATCTTTAAAAAAAAAAAAAAAGGAAATCCTCATGAATGGATAAGAAACTAATTAATGCTTTCTTCTCCATTATTTTCTCTATTTCCCAAACTCTTTACAATGACATATAATCTTTTAGAATTGGAAAAAAAAAATTTTTTTTAAAGATTTATTTATCTGAGAGAGAGAGAGTGCAACAGGGGGAAAGCACAAGCAGGGGAGAGGGAGAAACAGACTCCCTCTGCCAAGCGGGCTTGATCCCAGGACCCTGAGATCATGACCTGAGCTGAAGGTTGACACTTAACTGACTGAGCCACCCAGGCGCCCCTGGAAAAAAAATTTTAAGCCCAAATAAGGTACTTATCACATATTACGATATTTAAGATCTTTGTCTTAGAAGATAGGAGAAAAAAATCAGTAACAAACTGTTAACATAATCTTTTGGCCTACTATGAATTTGCCCATAATTTCAAGTCTGCTTACTTCAATGTCTTCATTCTCTCATAGGAAAGATTCATTTTAAGGTAAAGGCTTAGGTGCCTAGAAAAGAATTATGATAGGCAAAAGTATGTTTTTTGAATGGAGGGGAAAGGTGTCATAGCATTTTAATATCTAACAGCTATCAGATCTTAGAAAGGAAACCAAAGGTCTTTAATGAACACATACTTGTTAAAAACCCTTAGTAAGGGGCACCTGGGTGGCTCAGTCATTAAGTGTCTGCCTTCGGCTCAGTTCATGGTCCCAGGGTCCTGGGATCGAGTCCCGCATCGGGCTCCCTGCTCAGTGGGAAGCCTGCTTCCCCCTCTCCCACTCCCCCTGCTTGAGTTCCCTCTCTCACCGTCTCTGTCAAAAAATAAATAAAATCTTAAAAAAAAAAAACAAAAACACTTATTAGTAAACATTATATAAGCCCATCTCTCTTATCATTCATATTAATACATTCTTTGAACAGTAATGAAAGTTATTTTTCAAAACACTAACAATGAAATCAGCTATTAATATAAAAAAGTAACATTTATGAATATTTTATTATGATCCTGATAACAGGCCAGACAGACAGGTATAGCTTACCTTGGTACAAAAAGATTTTGCAGGTGTTTTAGTATACTTTGAACATATAGATTAGGCTCTTTAATAACTGGCAATGGAATAGAATCTTTCGGCAATACTAGAGCCATAATCCAGTCTGTATATACATCAACACAATATTTTACAGTCTCTCCATCCAATGGAAGGGTCAGTCCATAGCAAATTACTTCCATCGTCCATTTCACCTAAACAAAAGAAAATATACATACAGAATTATCACACATCCCTACTATATTTCAGTAGACTGATTTAAAATATTTACCTCTTTTATTACCAAAAACCTCTCAAGTGACAGTATATTCATCTCAACTACGTATCATCAGATTTATTCTCAAGAATGCACTTTCCATGGATAAAATATACTCAGACAACATTTCCTAAGCAAAATATTTGAAAAGAAAATAAATTATTTATTTCTAAATATTAAGCCCATGCTGGCTTTTACCCATTAGACATTATTATTGTTTGCAATGTGAAATAAAAAGCAATTAACGGGCCATCTTGATTTTCCCTAGAGACTGGAGGCACAGAAATAGAAAATTTTAGCTATATTTCTCCTTTTAATTTGTATACAGGTATGTGTGTTATTTAGGAAATCATATACATAAATTCAATCATATTCCATTTCCAGATTATGCAACATTAACAAGCAACAGGAAGGAATATTAACTGCTCAACTCTTATTCTGTGACTTTTTCTGCCAAAGAAAATAATTAACATGGAAAGGTAAGAACAAACACAAGTGAGAAGGGACTTAAGCTGGGTAAGATCTTAACAAGGCACTTAGCTGCACTAAATGAGTGCTAGCCTCTTGACCCATCTGCATCACATCATAGAGGCTGAGAGAACTTGCCTAAGAAACTGCCAAACCACTGCCTGCAGTCATAAAGAATGAATACGATATGAGCAGAAAGGGAAAATAGCATAATTTGCAAAAGAGGATGAAACAATATTCCAGATACTGTAGACTGGAAAGTTTCAGTGAATGCCAGACGAAACTGTGGGACAAAATTACTAAGCAGATGATCAGTGAGCACTTACAAAATGGAAGCATGATCACTGGGAACCAGCCTACTCAAAAAGAACAAGTCATGCCAGACAAGCTTCATTCCTTTACTAACAAGGTTACTATGAAGGCAGTGGACAATTGCATAACCCTGGCAATTTACAAAGCAACTTTCATAAATATCATCTAACCATCAAAATAACCCTGTGTGAGAGGGTACACTATCCTCACTTTATAGATAAGAAAAATGACACTTAGGAATATTAAGCAATTTGGCCCAAGTCACTGGTATGGAAATGGTAAAACTGAAAACTTGGGCCCTAGTCTTCCAGCTAGACATCTGAAGCTACTCTCATCATACTATCAATAGCCTTGTCTGGCTAGGGGGCCCTGGGTTTTAGCAAGAAATGTGGTCAGATGCGGGATATCCTTTGGACAGGATGGAGACTTATGGCCCAGAGGAAAGTAGAATAGCTGGATTTATAAGTGGTTGAAACACAAGATGAGAGAACACAGTGGGTTAATGCACAAAGATCATTTTGAAGAAGGTGCCCAGTGGCATGCCAAAGGCCCCGCTGAGATTTTTAACGTAGGAAAAGAGAGAAAAACAGATTATAGGCTGACCATCTGTAGATACCACAAAGCTAAAATGGACAGTTAACTTGTTAGATAGAAATTCAGGATTCAAAAAGACTTCAACAGTTTAAAACAAAAGTTGAATCTAATAAGATAAATACATGTAGAGAAAATTTTAAGCTCAAAAACAACTACAAAGACTAAGGGTAAAATTACATAACAACAATGTAACATAGATAATATAATACATATTGTCTGCAACAGTGATAAACTTTAAAAGCTCTAACACTACAGTGAAGCTGTGACAAATATAGGAGGGTGGGAGGAATTTAACCACGCATAAGAAAGGATTTTAAAAGGGACTGCAAGTCCGTAATTGTCAGATGAAAAGACAAAGGAGAAAATATCTCTGGTGATACCTCCATAATAGTTCAAGTGTATAATTCTAGAGGACACTGGATTCAAGGACTATTCTCTCATATCTTTTTAAGGGTGGGGCGGGAGAACGAACAAGAGTGCAGCAGAGCACCTCTATCCACTAATGTGCCCTCTCTTCCCAGGAGATCACAGACCCACCAGGAGGAGAGTGCACCAGGCCAAGCGCTGGTCCTCAGGGTAAGTCTCTTTTAAGGTACTCTGAAGAGAGAAAAACGCTCCTCAGACTGAGAGGCTTCATCCTCCCGCCTGTGGAGGGTAAATAAACTGCCTTTAGAGCTATAAGCTTTAGTCTTATATCCAGTCTTCCATGTAGATTAAGTCTAATCTCTCCTTCATCAGAAAGAAATCAAAAAGTAAGGGGGAGAAAAAGTGGGTCTGAAAAATAAGTTAACCCAAAGTCTGAAGGTTGTATAAACATCCTCAAGTACAGAGACAAAGTTCTAATCCCGTATCTTAGCCAGACATCACACTAGCAAATTCCTGTCTCTCTCCAGTATCAGGGTCCCTTCATGACCTGCCCCTGAAAACTTCACTTCATCCCAGTCACCTGAACCAAGACCAGAGGACCACCTCCAGGCCGAGCCACTCTCGGAGCCCTTATCTTTAGGGACAGCAAACACAACCCCCATTCCAACCACTTGGGCTCACAGCCATATGCGCTTAGCTGCTCTGCAGCACTGTTAAACCTGAGAGTCAGGTAAGGATAGGCAGACATGGAGACACAGGAGGGCCTCCAGTTCAGTGCATATGTGAAGCCTGAAAACTTGACACAAGACAGGCCTTCAGTTAGAGGCCATATTGGAGTAGCAATGAAGACCTTCCGAACACACCTCTGAATAAAAATCTGAAAACTGGGCCCAGAGCTTAGGGGAAAGGACCTGACACTTAAGCCTCTGTCTTGGGCACACAGCTCAAGTAGAGAGTTGGGTCTGGCTAGTAAGGAGCCAGCAGCACAATAGTACAACCTATTCCTTGACCCCCACAAACTCTCAGCTCCAACCTTCAACCCAAACAAAGGTCAAAATTTTAAAAAGTTGTACTGCATTGGACAGAAACCCATTAAAAGGACAATGTCAAATAAATTCTTCAGTAACAAAATTATGTTTTCACACAGTAGAATGAAAGGAAGAAACACTTACTTCTTTGTCAGTTTTTAATAAACTCTCACTACCAGCCACTGAAGGGGTACCTAAGGCCTGCCCAAGGGGATGGACCACTGCATTTGCCACCTCTCGCCCAACGCTCTCTGGATAGCTGTGCAGCACACTCGTGTGGCCCTGATCATTCTGAATCACCAAATGCAGTGACCTCCACTCAGAGTACATCGTGCCGCTAAAGGACTATCCAAATGGCACCTGAAAAGACAAAACAGAATTACTGTTAAATTACACTGTTGCAAATTAATAAAAATAAGTAAAACACAGATTTACCCTACATGGTAAGATAAAGCGGCTACGAACACACTGCCAAGTAGACTGAGAAAAAAATACATCTAAATGTTTTGAGAATGTCCTAAAACAACCTCATGGCAAGATCAGGTAGGAAGGCAGACCCTGGGAAGCAGCTGTCTGAGCACCTCCCCCAAAAGAGCCGCAGAAGCCCTGGAATGGAACTGGGACAGATGCCACTGTGCAGGGGGATAAAATTATCTGATTTGGTACTTATAACAAGAGGGAGCCCTCCTCGTTCTATGTTCCCGGACAGAAAAAGAGAGAAGAATGAAGCGCCCTAAGTAGGAAAGGAAGACAAAGGAAAGAGTTTACTCCAAGATCCAGATTTTTCAGTCAACAATTTCCAAGTACCTATTACATGCTAGAAACATACCCCTGCAATTTCCCACCAACGTCCTCAAATCAGACACAAAATTCTTTGAGAATATTTCATTCCCTGCAGCAGTGACACACAAATTTCTAATAACAGTGTAGACTGGAAGTCACGGTGTTCTTCAGGAAATATATTAAGAGCTCCACTCACTGAGCATTTACTGCATGCTACTCATGCAATCATCAAAACACCTCAATGAATAGGGGTGCCTGCGTGGCTCAGTTGGCTGAGCGTCCCAACTTTCGGTTTCAGCTCAGGTCGTGGGATCCCAGCCCCACATCAGGCTCCACGCTCAGCAGGGAGTCAGCTTGGGATTCTCTCCCTCCTTCTCCCTCTGCCCCTCCTCCCACTTATGTGTGTGTATGCATGCACGCTCTCTCTCTCTCTCTCCCCGCCTAAAGATAAATAAATCTTGAAAAAAACCCAACTCAATGAATATTAATGAACATTATCTCTATTCCACAGATGAAAAAGCTGAGACAGAGAGGTTTGCTACTTACCTGAGGCTTCAGAGCTATAACATGGTAGAGCTGGGTTTGAATCCATATCTGTTGGGTTCCAGGGACCATTCTCTTAACCATGGCATGTACTACCTTCTCCCTATCCTATACATTCTCCAGGCATGTACTGCTTCTCCCTGTGCTGTATATTCTCCATGAAATGATCTATGTCTACCATACAAATGAAAAACTTTCAGCCACAGAAAACATATCTTTATGAATATAATGTAAATATTACAATCATAAACACCATGCTCATGAAGAGAATCAAGGATGGTTAGCTCTTTCCAATTAATTTCTGTTAACTTCTAACTTCTACTTGTTCTGAAATCTGTATGCCCAGCCAGCAGAGTTTAAGCAAAATACATGGGTACACTTAATCTTTAAAAAGTTCTATCCTTTAAGTTAATTTTTCTTCACACTGGGAAAGACTAGCATTGTTCAATTTTATCTTTAAAAAACCTCATTCCAGCTCAACAAGTATCAGTGTTTTTCAAGAGGATATGGCATTTGAGAATTACAGGCCTGCAGAATGACAATGAAACTCCTCAGCACGAAAGTCAAAGTCATTCGCAGACTGGTCCCAAACTACATTTCTTTCACACTTCCATACAGAGGAACCCACCACCTTCTCTTCCCCTCTTGCATACCTCCCACCCCCAACCCTGCTCAATCTTCTCATCCTCTTTGGGAATCTGATGGACTCCGGGCCCTGGTACCTTTCGGTACCCTATGAGATCTGATGTCCTCCTGTGGACAAAAAGGCCCTGAAAATGGGAAGGCCAGAGAGATGGGCCAGCATCTAACAAGGTACCCACAATGTGAAGGAAGGGTGGATTCGACTATTAAGATTGCCTCAGTTTCCTTGGGTTTATAAGGAATTTCCCCAAGGATATTCTGGTGCCCTCCCCACCCCTCCCAAAATAATGTAAGGGGAAAAAGGGAAAGCTCTGATAGGGAGGCATCCCCATCAGGTGGAAATTTATATTTCCATGCCACACATTTTTTTCTCACCTCTTCTAGTCAACATATATGCATACATATACATACAGTGCATACACAGTATAATATACATATACACACCATACATAGTCTCTTACATAAATGCACAAGAATATTATACCGCAGGGACTTTTGTTTTGTTTTAGTGTAGTTTTTTTTTTTTACCTTTTTCATTTTATTTGGCTTCATGTCCTGTCCAAATAATTCACTTCCCTAGACAGATAATCCATGTTGACAACCTAACATTTCCTCTTGTGTTTCTCTACCCTAACTCAATCATGTTAAAATAATATACATACTTGCATAGATAGGCATTGTATACTTTTCTGGTTTTTTTTTCCATTCAACAATGCCTCATGAACATCCTTCCAACTAATAATAGATTCTTTTTAATGACTGTGTAACATTCCATGGCATGGGTGTGGTATAACTTATTCAACCAGTCTCCTAATGATGTGTATTTACTTCATTTCCCATTTTTCTGTCACCAGGAAATGATGCAATAAACATATTTGTTCATATAAACACTGGCCTTTTAATTTCTATGGAACAAGTTCCCAAGAATGAAACTACTGGATCAAAGGGCATTTGTTTTTATTGTTAATAGGTCTTGCCAGATTGCTTCCCAAAAAAAGCTGTAACAACTTCCATCTACATTAGGAATGGATGAGAGCCTTTCCCTCCTCTCACTCCCCATCTCCTGCCAGGAATTGCTTGCTTTTTTCTTTCTTTCTTTGCCAATTTGATAGGTATGAAGTGAAATTTCATTGTTCTAGTCACATTATTTACATTTTGCAGCTTGAGTCTGGCTTAGGTGGTTTCTGCCTCCCATCTCCTCTATCAGTGTTTTTCAATCTGTGGGTCATGAAATAAATGTAATGGGTAACACTTTTGTTTTTAATTACATGGAATAAGATATACAATAAAGGCATCACACATAGTAAAGGTAAGCAATATTCTGTGAAACTTGTTTCACTTTTCATAAGTGCGTATTTCTGGGTCACAGTGTAAAATACATTTATTATGGGAGTAGGTCCAAAAGTGTGAAAATGTAACCCTAAAGTGTTTATGTAGTCTCCCAGATTTCCTGCAAAACAATTGCTTATTTCTTCACACTTAAGTTTTATATTCATCTGGAATTTACTTCTCTATAAGTGGTGTAGGAAAGGTGAAATTTATTTTCTTGTAAATGTACAGTCAATTGTGCCATCATCGTCTATCAAAAATACATCCTTTCCCACCAAACTGAAACACCAATTTGTCATATACTAAATCCTCATTTACAAAGGAATCTACTTATGAATCTGTTCTATTCAACTATTTATCTCTTTCCCATACCAATGCCATAATGATTTAAATTTAGTGGCTTTATAGAATGTTTTAAGATCTGAAAAGGAAGCCCCCTCCACCTCCCCTATTCTTTTTCAAAACTTCATTGGCTGTTCTCAGACCAAATTATTATATATGTATTCTTCTATATAAAATTTAAGATGATTTTATACAATTAAAAAAATAAAACCTTGCTAGGAATCTAATTGAAATTGATCATTCCACCTTCCCAGCCTCATCTTCTACTGACACTTTCCAACACACGTACCCTTCCCTGCAGCTATGGCCAAAAGGACTACTGACGGATCACTCAAACCCAACAAGGTTTTTCATATCCTGTATCACTGCTCGAGCTACTCCCACTGATTGCACTGCCACACTCCGCCTTGATCCACTTTATGAAGTAGTACTCCTTCAAGAAACAGCACAAATGTCCTCCCTTTGGTAAGGCTTTTCTACACTCCTCATATCACCCCTCCTCCATATGCATATTTCAGGCTGGTCATATCAAGCTTCACATTAACTTATTTGTTAGCCCTGTAAAGATATCTTCGCCATAAGGGTATCAACCTTTTCTGAGTGGAAACCTCACTTCCTAAATATTTGAGTAGTTCCTAGCATGCAGTAGATAGTAAATAAATGTTTTAGAATGTTAAGGTTTATGAGTGGGAAACAGGAAGACATTAGAAAGTTCCCTTTATTCCACTGAGATGTCTAAATTTTGCATGCCACACACAAATACAATTGGAAAATGTCCATTTGTCTTATGCTATTAGTTTTTTTTAAGATTTTATTTATTTATTTGAGAGAAAGAGTGAGAGAGAGAGCCCGAGAAGGGGGAGGAGCAGAGGGAGGAGCAGACTCCCCACTGAGCAGGGAGCCCAACGAGGGGCTTGATTCCAGGACTCCCAGATCATGACCTGAGCCAAAGGCAGACGCTTAACGACTGAGCCACCCAGGCGACTCTATACTATTAGTTTTTTAAAAAGTAGTTAGATGGTTTCCAAATATCTGAAGAATATTTAATTAATATTTAGCATGCATTCCAGACAACACACTATTGGAGGATAAAAACTGTTTCAAATAAAAACAAAAAAAAGGAAAGCTAGCTTTCCAACTCCATTGCACACATAAGAATCATGGAGGGGCGGGGCAGGGGTGGTGGCAGTGCTGCTGCATATCTCTAGGCCCTATCACTGGAAACTGAAATTCTGTATAGGTCTACCTTGGGACCTGGGAATAAGCATTTTTAAGAAACAGCTGCTATCCCTCCCAATTCTGAAAAAAAGACAGGAGTATTATTCTTTAAAAACAACAATATCAATACTGTGAAAGACCAATCAAAACAAGTTTAATAGCTCTTAAATTCTTAAAAACTTAAATGTAAGAAATTTTAATTCTGTAAATGTATTTTTAAATAATTAAATGTAAGAAAATGAAACAAGGAGAAAGGTATAGAAAAGATACAGTGAAAAAGTTTAACTTAGCTATTAAAATGTATATAACAGAAAAAAACATGCTAAATTTTAACAAAATACACAGACAAAAAGTATTAAGACAAAGATGTGTGTTATAATTACAGGCAAATTAAATAAAACAATGAAGAGAAAATAATATTGGAAACAAACATGAATAAAAAAAAGCAAAGCAACAAAGATATTGTTTTGCACCTATTAAACTAGCAAAACAAGTGATAAAACT